AGCCGAAATTCGGCCCTGAAGCCGGAATTCGGCCCCTGAAGCCTAAATTCGGCCCTGAAGACGAAATTCGACCCTGAAGACGAAATTTGGCCGTGAAGACGAAATTCGGCCCTGAAACCGAAATTCGGCTCCTGAAGATGAAATTTGGTCCGGAAGCCTAAATTCGACCCTGAAGCCGAAATTCGGCCCTGAAGACGAAATTCAATGCCATTTTAGGCTGGGGGACCGAAACCGAATTCAAGCTTCAGGGTCCGAACTTAAGCTTCAGGGCCGAATTTCGTCTTCGGGACCGAATTTCGGCTTCAGGGCCGAATTTCGGCTTCAGGGTCGAATTTCGCCTTCGGGGCCGAATTTTGTCTTCAGGAGCCGAATTGCGGACTTCGTCTTCGGGGCTAATTTCAGCTTCAAGGGCCGAATTTCGTCTTCAGTGCCGAATTTCGTCTTCGGCCGAGTTTCGGCTGGGCCGAATTTCGTCTTCAAATTTCGTCTTCGCCGCCCCCCCCCCCGGAAAAGGGGACCCAGTTTCCCGGGTCAATGCTTTAAACAATAAAGAAGCTCACAACCCTCAAAGCCTTGAAGCTCCTCATTGCCCCACCCCTGATCCTTTGGAGTGCCTTGTTAAAACCCCCAAAAGTAAATCGCCAAACCCTAACCCCCCCCTTCCCCCCCCGACCCCAATCAGCGCTGGTTAAATGCAGCCCCGGCAGCCTCATGCTGACAGTAGCGCCGGATGTGGCGCGTCGCCCACACAGGTGGGCCAAAGTGCATGCTCTTTGCCTCGACACGGGAACTGGCTTCCAAGTATTAGTTCGGGAATTGGGGGAGTTCGGTACTCTAACACGTAGCCCCCGATACATGCCCTCTAAGGGATTGTGTAGCGACATGGACATAGTTTTTTCAACTTCAGGGTTCAGGGTGTAGATTTCTCAGCTCCATTTCTTTGCTGGGCGCACCTTCTGCTTAACAAAAAGGGGGTTTATGAGGGATCCCACTCATTTCAAAAGGGAAAGAGGCAACAACTGGGCGCCTGGTAATTAATCCCTGCACCTCACCCTCAATGGACCCGAAATCTAAACCTCTGAAACCTCAACTCCGCGTAGCCAAGCTTATGCTCAGTGCGCATCTCGTTCAACTACGGTTCGGCTTCGTTTATGTGCAGGGCCTTGAGGTCTCATGGTTTTGGGAGCTGAAGGGTTTTTGGGCTTAGAGCTGTACAGAAGGCCCCTAGACCCAAGACTGTAAACCTTTAACCAAACATCCAAAACAAAAAACATACCTGGAGTTTGGGAACTTGAGGGCTCTTGAGCTAAGGCATCAGGGCTTTGGGTATTTCAAGGTTTGGGGCTTTAACTCCCAAAGACTTGTGTAAGCCCAAAAAGCCCAAAACCCTCACCCTAAACCCCAACCCCCAAACAGCAGCCCGCAGGCGGAGGGGGTCTGGCGTGGACGCACCTGTCTGCTGCAAAGGTTAGGATGTAGGGATTTCAGGGATTTAAGTTCAAGGTTTAGGTTGTAACAACCTATAGCACACAAAGACGGAGATGGCCTGCGGGAGGCGTGGCGGGCGACTCCTCTCCGTGGTGACCTGCGCTGCAGCGGCTTTCTCACCGTGAGCCCCAAACACCAAAGTCACTAAACGAAGCACCTCATGGGGTTCCTCGGAGCTAGGGCTTAAGGAATTAAGGTAAGCCCCCCACCCCCTTCCAAGTACCACAAGATGTAGGGCATCTTCGTGTACAAACCCCAGAGCAACCACGATCTAGGGTTTAGCGCTTCAGGTTTAGCCGAAAAAACTCACCTTCGACCGTGAGCACAACCCCAGACGGCATGCCTCACGGCATGCTTTCTGTTTGTGTTTCATGCTCGGGCTCTGGCAAGGAACCATGACCTCCCAAATCACTAAATCCCCAAACCTTAAACCAGGAGTCGAAGAGAGGTCTAAAAGAGAAATCGCTAGGGTGCAGATAGTTTCCGCTTTTCCCTTTCGCTAGAGCGATGTAATCGCATAGGAAAAAAAGGAATCGACCAACCCGTAGGCTTCTCAGCCCCCTAAGACCTCAAATCCGTGAACCCCTCAAAGCCTCAACACCCTCGACTCCAGGGCTGCAATTTTGAACCCCTCAAGCAACCTGGACCCTAAACCCTAAAACCCGAAAACGCTGAAAACCCAAAACCCTAGAACCCTGAAACCCTAGAGCATTGAAAGCCCAAAACCCCTGAAACCCTGAACCTCAGAACCCTAGAACCTTAAACCCTGAAGCCCTTTCACCCTAAATCACCCTAAAGGGCCTCAAGCCCTTAAACGGCAGAGCCCTGTAGAGCAGCCTTGACCCTAAACCTTTAACCCCTAAACCCTGAACCCTAAACCCTAAACCCTAAATCACAAAACCCTAAACCCTAAACCCTAAACCCTGAACCCTAAACCCCCTAAGCCCTGTAAGGAGCCTTGGAGATCGACTTGGAGGCAAAGAACGGCCTCTGGCCGGACTCCTGCGTGGTGTGGACCGGGATTGGGCGCTCAGAAAACTTTCGGAGGGTTTAGGGTTTAGGGTTTAGGGTCACAGGGTTTTGGGGACTTAGGGGTTGGCCACTGGGAGCCCGTATAGAAAAGCTGATTCAGGCAGTCGGGGGATCTAGGATAAGAGGTGGGGGCCCCTTACGTGCCAAGGCATCTGTGGTGGGCGCCTACATGGGAGGAAGCCGAAATCATGGCCCCTTCCTGGGGTTCCTTGAGCAATGCGGAGGAAAAGGCGCCCAAAAAAGGCGCCATAATTCAGAGAAACCCGACAATTAAGGGGAAAACGCTTCTGAAGCCATAAATTAAGCCCACAGACCCATGAACTACCTGGGCTGCATCCATGCGGTCGGGAGCCTTGCCTCCACGAACATCAGCTCCCTCATGTCACGCATCTCGCGACCTAAAGGTTTCAGGGTAAAGGGTTTTTTTGGGAGTTTGGCTCAAGAAGTCGCAGGGGGTTCGGGTTGAGGGATGATGGATCTAAGGCAATGTCCGTGCCGAGCAGCAGGTTTGACAAACAAACTGCAGCCACCACATCCTATGAACAAAAACATAGCTGAACTTGCTGCGTGCTGCTGGCAAGCTCCCGAAACACCAAACACAGACACCAACAACACTCTAGCCGCGCGATCCTGAACCTTAAGCCGGAACCCCAAAAACCCAAACCCTAAACCCCAAAACCCAGCCCTAAACCCTAAACCCCGAATCCCAAACTCAACCACAAGATGACCCAAAGCAAGGCCCGGAGCCCCCGACGCACGGCTTTACTCTGACGAGGCGCGCAGCTCTTCGCTCATCTTCTCTTGCAACTTGTCCACCTTAGGAACTTTGAGTCTGTGACCCTAAACCCTAAACCCTAAACCCTAAACCCGGCCTAAACCCTAAACCCTAGGCCCCTCTTCCCTAAACCTTGGGGGTTTGGGCTTTTAGAGGGTGTGAGAGCAGGCTTCCGCGAGCATTGGAGGGCGATTTCTGCTATGATGCTTAGGGTCCCTTAGTCGTTCTTAGGGTTTGGGGTTTAGGGGTATAAGAACTTGAAGCCATATATTTCAACCCGAATTTGTTGGTAAGAAGGAGCGTTTTGTCTTACAAGTGCAGGGTCCCATTTGTGACCAAGGACATGCGGGCCTCTGGCAGTAATGCTCCGCGACTCCCCGCCCTGGCCAAACCAACAAAGCCACCACAAAATGCTGAATCCCTAAACCTGAACACCGATACCCGCAAACCCCACAATCTTAAAGAATGCCCGAAACGACCCGAGGACCGACTGCAAAGTGCCCGAAGCCTGCTAAACCCCAAACCCCAAACCCCAAACCCCAAGCCCTAAGCCCTAAACCCTAAACCCCAAACCCATTACCCCAGCAACAAGAACTCAGAAGCCATGCCAGGTCGCCATCTTCTGCATTTCCGCGAGGAGGACGCCGCTTAAATCGTGGAAGGCATTCTCGGGGCAACTGTTTGACGGAGCCTCCATCCTCCGAACGCTGATTCTGGGATTGGGTTGAGGGGGTTGAGGGGGGTTGAAGGGGGTTGAGGGGGTTGAGGGGGTTGAGGGGGTTGAGGGGGGGTTGAGGGGGCTGAGGGGGTGGGGAGGGGGTTGAGGGTCTTGGAGGTTCCGGGTACCAGGGATCCTCTCTGATCTTGCGTTCTTCTGCGGTCGACGGCCAGTCCGACACCCTAAGCCCCTAAAAAAAATTAAAGGGCCATTAGATTGTATAGATACCCTAAACCCTAAACCCCAAACCCTAAACCCTAATCCCTGAACCCTAAACCGGGTTGAGACCCCGGACTCCCCTAAAAAGTGCCGCCCTTCCCTCTCCAAGATCTGGGATCCCGCGCGTCTCAGAAGGCAGCACGCAGCTGCGACTTCTGACGGGCTCTTTCGGCGTTATAAAGCCATAAGAACAGAAGCGGCTGCGGAACAGGGGGTTTAGGGTTTAGGGTTTAGGGTTTAGGGTTTAGGGTTTAGGGTTTTTCAGAGCTTTTTAGGGGGTTCCTTCGGTTTGGTTTATACGGCTTGGGGATGCAACGGCTGAATTCCAGTTTGAGAAGCAGTGAGTCTTAACGGAAATCTGTTACCAAAAGGTAACCTTTAGGGAGCCCAAATATTGAACAACCCTCCCACCCCCAAGAAAAACGAAAAGAACACGTACAACAAACTGAGCAGGTCCTTGGTCGGGGTTCAGGGTTTATGGCTTCGGGCTTAGGGCCCAGGGTGTCAACGCGGCGATTGATGCGCAATGACTCCTTGAAGGACACATATGACGCTCAAAACCTTACGCAAGCCATGCTGCCTTCGCCTTCGTACTACCCTGATGAGCAACTGCGCGCTTAAACAAAATGCTTCGCAGTAGTTGGCTTGCAAAGCCTATAGAGGCCTAAACGCAATCCCTTGCTGCCCCAAAGCGCGAGCATCATGATCCCTAATGGTGAACCCTAAATCCGAAACGCTATAACCCTCCTTGGTTATGGGCACGGACTCCTCGTATTTCATGTTCCTGTCTTTCTCCTCTTCCAGCTTGGAGCAAAGAGCTTTGCTGTCTTCAAGCTGCAGGGGCAAGCGCGCTTCCGACAGAACATAGGGTTTAGGGTGTAGGGTTTCGGGTTTAGGGCTTCTATGTTCATTTGTTTAGACCTCAGCCCTAAACAACCACACGGAAGACAACCCAAGCCCCCCCTCCCCCGACCCTCCCCAATGATCAACCTCCCCACAACCCCGAAATCCTATCAACCCTAAACCCTGTAAACTCTATATCCCCGGATCCGAGAATTAAAAAGTTGTTCGGTGCCGCGCTCGACAGACTAACTTGCTTGCCTTTTGCTTTTGGCTTTCGTTTGGAGTGGGTGCCAGGCCGTCGGTACTTTAATTGTTTGGCTTTTTGTTTGGGCGGGGAGGTGTGGAAAGAGGAGGGGAGGCAACTCCTCCCCTTGTCCACCTTGTGGACTCTCTTTGCGTCACTTCAGGGCCCAAAGGGTTAGTTTGGGGTGTGAATGGAAGCCATAAACCCCAAACCCTAAATCTCCCGAATCATACTAATGGCCTGGCTATGGGAAGCCCAAGCTTAGCGCCTACGCGCGAGGCTACAGTTCACCCACTGAGCAGCTAGGTATTTCAGCCCTTCATGGCATTCATGGCAAAAATACGAGCTGCGCCCTTCCGACCAAAGCAGGGCGGTAAGCACACTGAGTTTTTTAGGGTTTTAGGGTTTAGGGTTTAGGGTGCAAAAGTAACAGCAGGGGTATTTCAGCAGGGGTATTTGAAGATTTGGAACAATCCCCCCCCCCCCCCCCCCCCCACCCGCGGCAAAGTTGCATCGCAAGTCCATGCAGCCATGTTCGACGCCCGAAGTACCCGTCATAAAGCCCTCAAACCTGAATCCTAAGCCCCCCAAACCCGAATTAGCTGGACCCCCAAAACCTCCCAGGCCTGCTTTTCAAGGTCCAGGATCTCATCATCTTTCTGCTTTATTTGGGCCTTGGCTCGCCCCAGGTGCTGGAGGGCCGTTTTTGGGTTGTAGGTTCAGGGTTTAGTTCCGGTTTCTGGCTTTAGTTTGCCCACGAAAGCAGCTCCAAAAGTTTGGGGTTTGGAGTTGGCGTTGGGCCAGGCCTGTCAGTAACTCCCATCCTGGTGCTTAAGGCGCCGCAGTTGTGTGCCCCGGGTGTGAGAAGAGCTTGCTGCTAGGAAAGCAGCACAGCAAAGTAGCTGAGAAGATAAGCAGGCAAGCAAGCAGAGAGGTAGGCAGCTGGTACTAGCCATGGAAACATACTCAACGGGCTGATTGGTGTTGTTTTGGGTGTTTTTGGCCTGTGTGAGTGCTGTTCACGTATTTGATCGGACGCCTCTTTTTTGTGATCTGCAATCCTTAACTCACGTGAAACTTACCACATCTGTCTGCCTGAGGTCAGCTGGCGCACGCACTAAAACATGCGAGCTCGAGAAAGAAAACGGCAGCGCAGCAAACAAGCGGAGCAATGAGCAACGGCATGGCCAGCACTAGCAGGGCAGCCCTGCATCCACCGGCTTGCATGCGCGTTGCTCACGCCTTCGGCTCCGCCAGTCCCAAGCGACCACCGCACGGATCAACTGATGCGGCTCAAATGGCCGACGTCAGGTTTGTGTGCACCGGAACCGAATGGAGCGCTGCCAACAGCTCAGACATCACTCGGTGAGCTCGCTGAGCAAGAAAGAGCTCGCCTGGATGCCGTCGGCAATCCGCTGCGCCTTGTTCATGCCAGTCTGCCCGCTCAATCCTGAGTTCAAGACGATGCCCTCCAAGATCACCAAGGGGCTGCTGCCTGGCTCCAGCACCTCGAGGCCCTCCTCGGTCCTCTTGTTGTTGAAGTGCTCCTTGGCTGACTTCTGAACCCCTCCAAAAAGTTTAACTTTTAGGCCCCTTATTGTAGTTATCATTTCTACAAAAACCCAAAAAGTTAAAGTCCTAAGAGCCAGCCAGAAGAAAGCCAAGGCTCGACAACGTCTTCGAACTCCATGTCGTCGCCCTTGGGGCTCGCTGCCAACTCCTCGGCCCAGGGGTGCGCCCAGAAGTCGCCTCCCAAGTTCCCCTCGGCCCGCGCAAGGACGCGCGGCGAGGCACGAAGAGCAGGGAGCCCGGTGAAGGAGATGGCCAGGGGAGCGAGGAGGAGGGCCAAGGCGAAGAGGAGCAAGGAGGCAAGGAGGGAGTGGCGGGCCATGGCACTGTCTGGGCTGCTGCGGGGCGGTTGTGTCCAAAACTTGAGGCCAAACGGCTTCGGAGACCCCATGCCTCGATCCACAACGCAAAAAAAAGAGCGAAATGTCGAAAGTGCTCTGCGCCAAAATGGCCTGCAGAAGTGCTTGCAAAAAACACCAAAAGTACAATATGTGCATTCAGACTCAATCTGCGAAACTATAACTTCAAGATACGTATGTGTCCGTAAAGATTAATTTTAATGATGTGCACAGACATGACCTGAAACATAGCGACGTAGTCACCTGCAGCTCCTCCGGCCGCAATATCCACTACAGCTACCCCCCCCCCCTCCGAAACCCTTAGGGTTTAGGGTTTAGGGTTTAGGGTTTAGGGTTTAGGGTTTAGCCCTCAAGAAAGGGGAAATGCCTGACTCTTCTTCGGGCCGAAGAACTAGCAGAACCAGTGAAAACGAGCAGTTGTCACTGCTCAGCTGCTTTCTACGCTGAGTCCCTGGCGGCTTCCTCTGCAGCCCTCTTCTCTGAGCGCTGGCGCTTGGCCTCAGTTTGCAAACGGACGCCCGGGAAAGCCCCAAAGAGGAGTCTGTGGGCGTTTCTGGTGGGTTTAGGGCAGGGAATCATGTGATTTGGGGGCTGAAGGGAGAAAAGGGCTAAACCCCAAGACTACAAAGCCTAAAAACCCTAAAACCCTGTAAGCCCTGTGAAGGCCCTAAAGTAAACTCCAGAAAGTTGGAACATCCTTCTCCTTCAATACCCTTAAGGGAAAGTATTGGGGAAACCCAGCACTCATCATCCTAAACCCCATGTTCCAACTTTCTGGAATTCACTTTAGGGGTGCGGGGGCTAACTTCTATACTCCCCTTAGAACCTTCATTTTTTTTTTTATATCCTCTTGGGTTTTGTATAAAAAACAAAAAAAAACAATGCCCAAGGGGGATATAGACTTAGAAGCTGTAGTTCAAGGCCTGCGGAGCCGGCCTCACGAGGTTGAGGGGGGGCTCAGAGATGCAAGCTCTTGAAGGGTTTAGGGCTTCAGGAGCTTTAGGGTCTAGGGTTTAAGGCTTAGGGTTTAGGGTTTAGGGTTTAGGGCTTTTCTGGGGGCTGTGGGCTTAGGGTGTAGAGGGCCTACAGGACTTAGAGGGTCTTAGGGGTTCAGGGAGGAGATGCATCAAGCGCCCTGACCCTTAGAAGGCCAGAACCCTGAAATAAATCCGAAACCCTAACCCAAAGCCAAAAGCCGGAACCTTTCAAGACTATAACCCCCCCCCCCCCAAAAAAAAAAAAAAAAGTATTCATATCCTGAAAACCCTAAGCCCCTCCAGCCCTAAACTGCTCTTCAAGGACCCAGAAGGAACCCTAAACCCTAAACCCTAAACCCTAAACCCGAATCCCCCCCACCCCCAACAAAGAGGCCGCGGCCTCGTTATCCTGGAGGAACTTGTTGAACTTCACCAGCTGATTTTGGAGCTGGAGATCCTCTCGTGGCTCTCTCAATTGGGAAATTCGGTTCCCCGTAGACTCCCGCAGGTTGCAGGTTCCCAAGTTTAGGGTTTAGGGTTTAGGGTTTAGGGTTTGGGGTTTAGGGTTTAGTGTTTAGGGTAGAAGGAGACACAGGTACCCAAATTACTCCCCTCCCCCCAAAATTAACCCCCCCCCCCTACCCCCTCATATTAAATCCCCCTACATCCTACAATATAACTATAATGGAGGGGGGGGGTATTTAATATTAGGGGGTAGGGGGGGGGGTTTAATATTAGGGGGAGGGGCCACAAAATCTGCATGGCGCACAGATTCAAGGCTGCCTATGCACGATTAAGAGTTTAGGGCTTGGGGTGTGGGTTTAGGGCTTAGGGCTTCGGGTATACGGTATAGGCATAGGGCATAGGGTTTGGGGTTCGGGCCCAGGCTCCATAGAGGCTTCAAAAATCTTTGGCGTTTTTAGGATACATATTCGGTTCAGGGTTATGAGGGGGGGTTGTCAAGGGTTCGAGGATTCTGGGTTTGAGGGCGGGCTCTTGGCTGGCGCGCACGCGCGCGCGCGTGCTTCAAGGGGAATTCGAATTCAAAGCCGCAAAGCCAGGGCCCCAAAATCCCAACCCCCTCTCCCCCCTATAAACCCTAACCCCAATTTCCCGGTCGCGACCACTGTCCTTGACCCGTAGCTGCTCTTCCTTCTTTCGGAACTGGTCCTCCTCCTTGGCGAACCTGGCCTCCCACAAAGGCGAAGACTGTGCAAGCCTTACAGGGTTTACAGCGCCTGAGGGCATCGAAGTCTGAATGTCATGATCTTGAAGCAGGGTATATATTTCTTGTACCCCGAAAAGGACACCCAATGTATACACTCACCAATATTAAAAAGGAACCTTCTATACACTCACCAAAAACAGAAATATAAACCCTACTTCATATATATATATATAAATCTAAGCCATGAAAGCTATGAGTGGTTTAGGGTTTTGGGTTCAGGGTTTATCCTTTTCCGTGAGCAATATCCTTCGTTTTACGCCCTCCTAAGTTGAGGGGAGTGGACGCGTCGAGATTGACCTCCAACATGTGTAGTACGAATAATAACTGTCATAGTCATAAGCAGAATGATACTGGCATTGATCACGATAGCAACCATGATTATAAACAAAGAACATCGTTCTAGTCAGAGGAAATAGGATGGGTTCCGCGCTTGCTTTTTCGGACGGGTGTTAAGGCTTCAGGGTTTCATTAGCTATGGACTTTGGGCTTTTGCAGGGCCGAGAGGCTCACTGGAACTGAGGAATGTAGGGGTTAAATGCTTTAGTGCCAATGGATGGACCAACCAAACACGAGCCCTAAACCATCACCCGAAGAACACCCTACACTGCAAGCCCTAAACAGCAGAGAAATGCAGCTTATGCCTCCAACTCGCCTAACTGCCCACCTCTATAGGCCCTCTACCCCAGAGCCCACATGGAGGTTTCATGAATTTGGGGTCAGGGCTTCGGGTTTAGGGGTTCCTACGGTGAGGCAGGGTGTAGGTCCAAGGTCGGGGGATTGGGGCATGTTGGGGGGCCCCAATCTTCAAATGCCCGTATCTCTCCGAAACCCACAGAGATGCGATGCCTTCTGGTTCTCTAGGGCGTCCTGCACTTCGTACCTGCACCCACGCCGAAACACGTGCGACTGGCTGGTTTTTTTTGGGAGAAGGTCCTTTGGGCGTCCGTCGCTCGCTTTGGGTTGGGGGCTGCAGCCACCGGACTTGAGCACTACTGGCGATGATGGGATGGGAGGCGCATGCCGCTGATTACACCCCTGTTATACATGCCGTAAAAGACCCCCCAAGAAGGTACCCTGGTTTCGGAGGCAGAACTCCCAGATTTTCCGAGTCCCCGCACATCTGCCGCCGCTTCTCCAGTAGCCGCGTCGCAGGATTGACATTGTCAAAGAAGAGCTGCTGCCTCAGGTGGAATTGTGCGGGGGGCAGGGGCTGACCTTAATAAATTCAGGGCCTATTTTGGGGGTCTTTGTTATGGAGTATGGCTTTAAGACTGCCCAACCAGGGGTGATTTTGAGGAATTTGGTGTCAGATCGGTTCCGCTGGGCTAGCGTACATACATGAAGTAGAGATGTTCCGCTAGACAAGGGGGTCGCGCGCATGTAAATCGCCGTGGATGTCCCAGCCAAACGCAGTCCATAGACCGTACTGCCCTACTGTAAATGGTAGCCCATGGTGGACAAGGCCCGCAATCCCACCAGCCAAAGGTCAAACAAAGGCTACCTACTGAGCGCCGATGCAATGACAAAGCACTGCAGCGCTGATTAGCCTCCCGCCTCCAGCCATAAACTGTCCAAACCCTCAAACCCGTGAACACCAAACGCATTTTTTTTGAACCCTAAACCCTGTGAACCCTAGGCCCTCGGCCCTAAACCCCAACATCAAGAAGAACAGCTTCAAGCTTGTTTGCCAGGCCCGTTTTGTAAAGACTATTTCTAATCAGAATGGGTAAGGCTTGGGGTGTCCGAAAGCAGGGGGGTACCCTTTTCTTTTGAGGGGGTTACCGTTCCTACAATGAATGTGGACTATCGTATACTTGGGCTAGACTCCCGAACCTCTCAACTCCTCAACCGCCAAAGTAGTCACCTCACCAAACCTTCCAGACCCTTGCGCCGCAACAAGGGGCCTTTAAAGGTACCCAAGCTGGGTCACCGGAAGAAAAACCCCAAACATCAAAGCGCGCGGCGGGTGCTTGGGGATGGCACCTTAGCAAGCTGACTTGCAGTTGTTGAACTCCACGTGCTCGTAGGCAGTTGCGTTTCAAGTCGGTTGTGAGTGTGTTTTGAGGTTGAAGGCTTGTGGGCGTTTGGGAGAATAGCACAAGGAAGACCTTTCTCCATTGACACACGCCACTCAGCAGCTGTTGGTCCCTGGCCTCGTTCGCCATCGGCGCCCGCCATCTGGTCAACAACAAGCACTCTCGCGAACTAAGCTGGCACCTGCTAGACGCGTATGGGCGCTTGCCACTGTCACGCTAGCTGCGTACAACTCTAACTGGGACGACTGCTGGACAGATTCGCACCAAACATAGAATGGAGATGCGGGGTGCGGGCTGGGCCTAAGTGTATTCGACTTCCAGCCCCAGCATCAACACATGAGGCTTTCGATGACAGGCCTAGTCAGGAGATGATAGTATACCGTACAGTCATGTCAGTTTGCACTCATGCTCAAGTCCATTAGGGCCCACAACTTGCCCAAGCTTGACAACCCTGTCCCCCCGAAAGCTCTAACAGTAAACAAATGCAAACGCACCTGAACATGTCAAAATGAACGCAAAAAAGCTTTAGACCCAGAAGTGCCCCTCCCGCTTTACATGCGGCTCGCCTTGGCCAGGGGCCCCGCAGGCCCCCCCCAACCCCCGACACGCGTGACAGAGGCAGAAACTCTGCGGCATGACAGGTTTAGGGCTTGAAGCTCAGGCAGGCGGTGTATGTGTCGGGTAAGCAGCTCATCAAGTAAGAGGCCAGGGCTGTCAGCGGCTTCAAGTTGCGAGTGAGTTGGGTGAGTGACTCGACAAGACGTTCTGGTTCGACCTACCGAGTGCCTTTCTTAAAAGCTCAGGGGGCTGTGCAAGCATCATCGCCCCCTTCCGTCGCGGAGTTCAAGTTGGGGAGATTTGTCCGAGGGAAACATATCGATACGAATACCTGCTGAGGTTCAGGGGGCTTAGGTTTCGGGTTTCGAGGGACTGTCTGTCGCGAATAATGAAGTGACTGAACTGTTTCATGCTGCACCTTGCAGGTCCCACGACACAACGCTGTGGCGCTCAAGGATTCCGACTCGGACTCCTATACATGGGCTAGACTTTGCGATGAGCACTCTTGCGTCCGACTTCCCAGTGGTCAATTGTCAAATTGTCAACTTGTGTACCTGTGAAACGGAAACGACAAATAAACACGGTACCCTACCGTTCTCCAACTCCAAAACCCAGCTAAACACAACTTTCAAAGATGCACCCAGACGCACCCTCAGTCTGAAAAAACACAAACCAAAATCTGGTCGTCGTCTTCGGCCATAATTAAACCCTAACCCCGAAAAATCCTTGAGCTGCTTCCTTTTCCTGGCGGACGCGCTGAGTTGGCTCCCCACCTTCCCGTGGTTGGCGGGTAGGAGGTTTGCAGCCCCGCGTGCTTGAAGCTTCTCAACTAAGGCCCTGAGGCTCTCAGTAGTCTTATTTGAGGCCTTGACTCATCCTGACCCTACTACGGGCTGACTCAGTAGCCGCATTTAACAGTCCTAAACCCTAACAAGACTCATGTTAGGGGTTTTGGGCCCGAGCACATGGGTTCAGGGTTTAGGGTAATGGGATGTCCTGGAATAAGTTTGGTTCAGAGCCTCAGCGGGAGCACTTTGTTAGGGGGATTCACAGTGAGGCACCGGCGTTTGACATCTAAACCTCGAGGGTAGCTGGCTTGCGGCAGTAGCAACAAAAGCATCCATGCTAAACCCGAAGTATTCGATATGATCCTCCATATAACTTCAAGTATCCCCCATAGTCTAAAGACCAGTCCATTAGATCTCCAGTTCATGGCTGGGATATTTTTAAAAGTTTATATGTCTATTCCTTATTGAGTTTTAAGTCGCTTAAGCATGTAAAATGTTACCCCACTAAGATTCGGAGATAGGTCCCTACACTATGTGGCCTCGTTGCAGCGGAAGCTGGAAAAACCAGGCGCGTCGCCAAAGCATTAACTCACAAGGGCCCAGACAACGTTATGGCTTTAGCGTCCGAGCTTCGCTAGCTGTCCTGATGCCCGAAACCGCAAACCCCACAAAATCCAAAAGGCCCCAAATCCTAAACGTTAAACCCTAAACCCTAAACCCTAAACCCTAAACCCTAAACCCTAAACCCTAAACTTCCTACACCCTTTAAGTGAGGTCGCTCCGAAGTTGACCGGTCAGTTTCCAGTCATCTTGGGAGCCTCGCGCCTGAGGATGCCGAAGGGCGCACAACACACATGAACAGCTCTCTAAATTGGTGGGGTTTAGGGCTTAGGGATTTTTAGGGTTTAGGGTTTAGGGATGTTTAGGGTTTAGGGTTTAGGGTTAAGGATTTACGGAGTCATTGTCCCTTGTGGCGTACCATGGCCATCATACCATGAATTCTCCCCCCCCCCCCCCCCCCCCCCCCCCCCCCCCCCCCCCCCCAATTGTAGGACGCCGATTGTAAGAATCCCTCATGGCCAGTTCTCCAAGCCATGGTCCTGTTCTGAACCTCCTCTCGTTTCAATATTGACATTCGAATGCGACCCGTCAGACTTCGGGTACACCTAGGGCACTCAGGAAGCAACACCTAGCCTTTGCGAATTTCTCAAAACCCTGTGACTCTCTCTCTCTCTATATATATATGTATATATATATATATTTATATATATTTATATTTCTATTTATTTAATCGTATATACATACACACACACACAGATACTTCCATTTCTGCTGTCTTCTGCAGCTGCGGCCAGGCAGGTAAGGGCTGCACCCAGGAGGTCCCCTGGACGCTTTGGCACATTAGCATCAAGAGCATCACCTGCCGCTGGCGTGGCTCGTTGCTTGGGTTTCTCACACAGCCCCTCAGGGGGATTCGGAGGATTACGGGAAGGGGAGCACCTGTCTTCGTCATCATACGGATCCTAGTCGGTCGGTTTCTAGGGCTCCGCCTAGGGCCCGGGGTCTTGAGCTGAAGTTTTCGGAGTTTGGCAGCGTTTGGAGCCATGCGGCCAGCGCTCTACTTATGTGGTCCTTTTGGGGTTCTAAGGTTTAGGGTGGTCGCGGGCGGGGTCTTTGGGGTTGAGTTTGGTCATAGCTCGGGTGCCAATACATATGTGTCCGAGATAGACGTGCTCAAGAACCAGACACCCATGTGTAGCTGTGCCGTTGGATTGCCGTGCCTTCCGACGCCCAACCCCAATTCCTAACCCCTAAACCCTAAACCTAAACCCTAAACCCTAAACCCTAAACCCTAAACCCTAAACCCTAAACCCTAAACCCTAAACCCTGGACGATAGAACAAACCCGTCGGCGAGCTTTACCGTTATTAGCTCCGGCCTTGGGTGATGACGCCATGTCACCCGCCTGCAAAAGGATGTTGGGATGTAAGGAGTTTAAGGCTTGGGGACCAGCAGATTGAGGGTTTAAGGTTCAGGGTTTCGGGTTTAGGATTAAGATTCAGGGTCTTTGGGCATTAAAGGCCGTCCCACGTGTATGTAAATCATGCCACCGAATGTGGGTGGGTTTCAGTATGAAGGCGAAGACATGCTAAGACTAAAAAACTGAAACCCCTAAGCCCTGACCACCCCCCCAGTTCCAAACCCTAACCCAAAAACCCTAAACATTTCAAAACCCTGCCCACTAAACCCCTTAACCTCAAACATCCAAAAACCCTAAAACCCGCAATGACGCACAGCTCGGCACTTGGGCCTTCGGGTCTTCGAAACATTCGTGTGGAGAGTCAGCAGTCCCCAAAAGTCCGGTTTTGGGTTTAAGGTTGGGCTGTTCCCCCCTATACTAACAAGTTTAAGGCCTTGAGCCAGGCCTCTAGGGTTTATTTGTGGTGGTTTAGGGTCTTGGGGTTTGTGGTTGGGGCGTTTGGGACATGGAGCTGCTATGATGTAGTAGGGAGCAAGTGGCGAAGATCTTTGCCCCATTTTGCCCGGCTTAGGGTTCAAGACTTGATTTAAGCTTTGAGGCACCATGGATGAAGAGATGCAGGCATCCACACAAGCAGGGTTTCGGGTTCAGCGTTTAGGTGAAGCACGTTTCCCCGCCTTTTTCGCGAGACAGGCGCGATTGTCTTGGAACTCTGGGCGATGCCGAGATGGACCTGCACAAACTGCTGGTCAGGGGTCGGTGCATCCACGACGCGATGCTAAGCCGACAAACGCAAACTCTCCTTCATCCACTGTCACGGGCCAAGCATACAAGAGCGCAGGCTTCTGCACCGTAAGGGTTTCTCACGCCCACGAGTATGAACTACCCCTCTCAACCATGGGGCCCGTTTTGCCATTTAGAAAAACGAATTAGAAGGGTGAGCGAGATTTTGCTATATTTGGTGGTAGAGAGGAAATTAGCAACTCTAGTCTTGATGCGAAAAAACCATACAGTATCGACTGTTGTATACTATTAGTGTGCTACGTACCGACTTCTTTTGGCCAATGATCAATGTCTTGTTGTCTCTTCCTCTGCTTCTCAAACTCTGTGGCAGAGATGTGCCACCTTGAGTCCAAATCAAAAAACATTAAGCAGCTTCTGAGACCTCAACAAACCTTCAGCCCTGAACCCCTAGCAACAATGAGTCCGAAGCCCTAAACCCTTAACAAAGCACCCCAAACCCTGTAAACCCACGACAACCCCTAGCCCTAACACCCCTAAGCCCTAACAGTAAACCCTAAACCCTAAAGCCCTAAACCCTAAGCCCTGAAGCCCTAAAGCCCTAAGCCCTGCCCTAAAGCCCTAAAGCCCTAAAGCCCTAAAGCCCTAAAGCCCTAAAGCCCTAAAGCCCTAAAGCCCTAAAGCCCTAAAGCCCTAAAGCCCTAAAGCCCTAAAGCCCTAAAGCCCTAAAGCCCTAAAGCCCTAAAGCCCTAAGCCCTAAGCCCTAAGCCCTAAGCCCTAAGCCCTAAGCCCTGAGCCCTGAGCCCTAAGCCCTAAGCCCTACGCCCTAAACTAAACCCTAAACCCTAAACCCTAAACCCGAAACCCCGTATACCTTCTGGCTTGACCAAGGCCTGGCCCCGTCGGAATGCTGCAGCTTCACCGGGATGCCTCAACAAGGCGGGGGGTCTCCGTAGTCGGGTTTAGGGCTTAGGCTTTATGGGGTTTAGGGTTTAGTTTAGGCTGGGGTTTGGGGTTTGGGGTTTAGTGTTGCATTTCTTGAATCGCCGTTTATAAGAGGGGCGATAATCGTGCAAGCTTTTTCGGCCAGGATTTGGGCCAAATAGCTTGTTTCATGAACAGTTTCCATTCTGTTAGGTTGTCCAGAGGCTCATGTTGATAAAAAAACATCCGGACATAAGATCCCAACTTCGGCGCTCAGGTCTGGAGGCCCAGAAGAGGCCCGGACGAGGAGGATGTCCACAAGAGGCCCAGAAGAAGCCAGCGGCGGCTCAGAGGAGCAACCTCCCCCTCCCAACCTTCTCTAGGATGGCCCCTGAAACCCTCTGAAAAATATTCCTAAATATGGTGCTCTTGAACCCAATTAAGGAAAATATAAAATGTCCCAAGGGCCTCCCAACCTTCATGATTAGGACCCAGTCCCGCCAAGCGCCAGAACAAATCCTGTGGGTGGGGGTGGGGGGAGGGGGGTTGAGCAAAAGCACCTCAATATTGGTAGAGTGTAGGGTTTTGTAAGGTTTTGTCGGGGTCCAGTAACATAGGCCTTTTTGAGCGTTCAAGCTTCTTATGCATTTTGGCTGCTTTCCTCAGGGGGTCCACGGTTGAGCGAATGATTGAGGGTCTTGGGCACGGGGTTAGGATTTCGGGTCAAAGCTTGAGGGATATGTTGCTTTCAGGTTGACAAGTTGATGTTGTGCACTGCTTACATTGGTAGCCGAAGGTGGCGTGGCTAGGTAGGTCGGGGTGTAGCTACGAGCAAGGGTAGGATCCGCATGGACATGTTCCTTGAATGCTCAAGAAAGACTTGTTGGGGATGTTCGGTCAGTCTCTACATTATCCTCCACAAAGACTTAAGAACCCGTCTTTGCAGCAGCTGCATGTGGCATGCTCATGGGCACGTCAGAGATGTTGGGGTTGTGGGCTTAGCACGCCCCAAGAAAGGATCCGGAAGGAAAAGGAACCCCAACAAACGGGACCATCATGTGGCGAACCGACAGGGGCTCTATAACCAAAAACGCTAAACAAGGCTGTGCTCTATAAGGTTGCAGTTGATGGAGGTTTTGTTTAGGGGCTTGATCCTAGGCATCCTAGCGGCCTAGCGTACTGTACAGTGTTGCGGTGCTGGTCGCGCTTACGACGAAGACTCAAAGGTCACAATGTCCGCAAGCAGCTTGTTCAGACCATCAGCCCTTTCCCTCCAACAACCAAAAGGACCCTAAAACCCTTTCATACCCAAAACCCTGAAAAAAATCGCCCCTTGAGCTGAGTTCGCAGCTCCGGATCTTGCGGACGGCGGGCAAGGCCACGGGCTCGTTGGCGAGGCCCGCAGCCACCTCAGAGATGCCACCCTGCCCGTGCTTTTTGAAGGTCCTCAACCCCAAAAGCTCTAAAAAAGGGGCCTGAATGATTAGAATAGGGTGTTGGGGGGTTATTGTACTCTGATTGTAAGGGACCACAAGTAGGGTATACTATTAGTAATTATTCCACCCCCTATATTCAACCCTTGATTGCCCCAAACCCCCCAACAAAAACTCCTCAGCCCGTGCCTTGCCCTGTTTTGAAAAAAATTAGGGGTTGTCTACAAGAGACGAACAAGCCCCCTCCTCCCCTCCCCCCCTCCCGCCCGAGCCCCCCTCCCTTCCGCACTCCCTTTCATGTGGCCTAATGGGAGGATCGACTGCATTGAGGTTTTGGAGAACCAGTTCAGGATCTACCCTCAGGATTCACAACTTTGGGCTCCAGGTTGTTTCAGCAGCTTGCAAAGGTACCTGCGGGCTAGGGATTGAGGGTTGAAGATTGATAAATTTAGGGTTGAGTCATTGAGGGTCTATAGAGTATACGGTTTAGGGTAGTATAGGACTTGCTTCACCAACAGTAAGAGGTATCCCAGTAGAGCTAACACATGTTTTGGCGATTTTCGGACCAGACTAGCTTCTGCTTGTGCATCTTATGCTACAGGTTATAGCAAAAATATTGTAGTAAGTCCAAGCTACTCACCTAACCATAAACCCTCACTCAAACCCTAACCCTAAACCACGTAGAAGCCCTACATGTACTCTGTACACCCGAACCCTAAACCCTAAACCTTAAACCCTAAACCCTAAACCTTAAACCCCAAACCCTAAACCTTAAACCCTAAACCCTAAACCTTAAACCCTAAACCCTAAACCCTAAACGTACCCGAGAGCCCTCCAAACCCTCAACCACATGAGCTCCTTGAGCCCAGGGCGGTTGCTCGATGAGTTCTGGAACCCCTGCTCGCACCTCGGAAAGAGGTTTAGGGTTTAGGGTTTAGGGTTTAGGGTTTAGGGTTTAGGGTTTAGGGTTTAGGGTTTAGGGTTTAGGGTTTAGGGTTTAGGGTTTAGGGTTTAGGAGTCAGGGAAGGCTTTTGGGGCGAAGCTTGGGGACTTCGCATCATGAGGGTTGCCGACCACCGTTGAGCGGCTTACACTTACAGGCCTTACTTATAAGCCCTCAAGCGATATTATGAACTGTAATTACTGTGCATTCTTGCCTAAAAGCTAAGCTTAGGGAGGACTTAGGGTTGCTAGATTGTGGTAGGGTAGTCCTTCTTTGGGCACCTGCTCCGCAGCAGGATCGGAACCCCCCAACACAGGAACCTTGAAACACCCTAAACCCCTCCTAAAGCCGTAAACCCTAAAGCCCTCTAAAGCCCTAAAACCTTAAACCCTAAACCCCTCCTAAAGCCCTAAACCCTACGGCCCTAAAGCCCTCTAAACCCCCTGCAAGGCCATCCTGTGGGCTCCCTGCTTGGGGGTCTTCCGAACTCCTTGGCCAGGTGGCCAACAGGACGTGTGGGGTCTCGGGATGGTGAAGGTTGAAGGTGTAGGCTGGGAGGCTAGGGGCCGGTTTTGGCCGGTTTGGGCTGGTTTGGGCTTAGGGCTCAGGTTCTGTTGAGCAGCACATTGCCCAATGGAGTTATTGAGGGCACCACCCGGACAATGCTGCAAACCGGCTCCCAGACCCCGACTGAGCCTCAGCAGTCAACCGAACCCAAACCACCCAAGTCCTGTGCCCAAACAGCCTAGCAGCTCTGAGCGGCCAAGCGTTTTCTTAGCCCGAACTTGTAGACCCTAAAACTTGAACTTTAAACCCCAAAGCCGAGCCCCTTAAACCAAGGCCATAATAGGCCAAATAAAGCTTAAGCCCTCAAATCCTAAACCTTAGCACTTTAAAACCCAAACCCTAAACACCCTGAAGCCTTAAAACCTTAACTTAAACCTTAAACCCCGCAAGCCCTATAAACCCTCACACATCCCATAAACCCGGTTTAGGGTTTAGGGTTTAGGGTTTAGGGTTTAGGGTTTAGGGTTTAGGGTTTAGGGTTTAGGGTTTAGGGCCTGTAAACAATGCAACTGCTATAAACTACCCGTAGACCTTGGAAGAGGGCCCCCGGCCCGCCGCGTTTGCTGCCGCAGCAAGTTCCTCGCGCTGCCTCAGGATGAAACGTGCTTCAATGCTGGGTTCAGGAATTTTGGGTTCTTTAGGGTTTATAGAGTTTAGGGTTTTTGACAGGGTTTAGGGTTTAGGGTTTAGGGTTTAGGGTTTAGGGTTTAGGGTTTAGGGTTTAGGGTTTAGGGTTTAGGGTTGCAGGCTGGATTGCAGGGGGGGGGGGGGGGCTGCGCAACACTCACAGCAGCCTCCCCAATGCACACGTTAAGAGCTGATGTTCGTATGTTCAGAGAAGCCAGGGCAAACCCATCGCGCGATCCAGCGGGTCGGTTCAGGACGTAGAAGTGAGGCTTGCCAGTCTTTTGAAAGCTTGGGATTTCAGTGGCCAACAAGAAGTGGGACAGACTTTGTGGACAGTCTCGGGGTGCAACGGTTGCTTGAGGGCTGCGGGGGTTCGGGTCTCGGAACTGATGCGTCTAAAGGCTAAACCGCAAGCCCTTAAGTTCTGAAGCCTTGAAGGCTTAAAGCCCAAAGCCCTACACAACCTTCAACCGCTCAACCCCAAACCCGAGAGTCTAACGCCTCTCGCGACAAGGTCAATTTACTGGGCTCTTGATAAGGAAGGTAAATTCGGTTACCACAAGAAGTGATGGTATACCACTGCCATTGAAGTCCCTTCACAATAGCCCTGCTGGCAGGGCTCAGCTCAAGCTCAGGGCCCTTGATGGGTCTATCACACATGCAAACAGCTCGGGAGGTCTGTGCCCTAAGCCCTACGCAGCCCCAGAATTCTACATCATCCTCGAACCTTGAACCCTACGACTGCACAAAAGCCAAAACAAACAGAACCCGAGGGAGACAGAGACAGAGGTAGAGAGAGAGGGAGAGGGAGGGAGAGGAGAGAGAGATAGAGAGAGACAGAGAGAAGTACAGAGAGAGAGAGAGAGAGAGCGAGAGAGAAGAGAGAGCTCTTATCATCCCGAAAAAACCCACAAACACCCCAAGACTAGCAAACCCTACCTCCTCGGGAGGGGGTAGGGGGGGGGGGTACCTAAAGCATAAGTCAGGCCATCACTTGAAACACCTTCCCCCCCTCCCGCCCCTCCGCCCCCCCACCACGCCCCTAGCCCTCACCCAAACGGTGAAGCCAAGCTAGGTGCGCTTGGGTTCACGTGGAGTCTTCTCGGACTTCACCTCCGGCACCAGCAGGGGATTTGTGGGCATAGGTTGGGATGTTCCCCCTTATGCTTGCTAACAGTGCTTAGTAGGGAATACAATACAGGGTACGGGGCAGCATGGTAACCTACCCTGCCTACCTCCCTTCCCTCCCCCCCGCCCTCCACCTCCCTCAACCTCCCTCCCCTCCCCGACTCCCCCCCCCAAAAAAAGGTCCACCTAGGCTGAAGATTTATGGAGGGTGTTGCGTGTGAAGCCTGTGGCTTGATGCCATGGGGGTTCTCAAGGCTTGGGATTTGAGCACGCGGCCTGAAGTTGTAGGGTGACTCGGCCTGTCCTCGCGCCTGCGGTGTCACGCTTGCTCCTTGGTGTATGTCTCCGGCAACTTTAGGACCCAAACCCTTACCAAACCCAAGCCTAAGCCCGAAGCCCCCCACAGCCTAAAAGCCTGCCTTGTCGCGCGCAGCTTGCCGCAGGCCCTGGTCGACTCGAGGTTTTGGTGACTTCTGGGAGACAGGGATCTCAAGCTCCCCACAAGTTTGAATTGGGGTTTAGGGCTTATAGGGGTTGGGGTTCAGGGTTTGGGGTTTAGGGACCCCCAGCCCCAAAACCGTGAAGCTCAATACCCTCAAAACCTAAACACCAAAACCCTGCACCCTCCAGCCCTCAAACCCCTAAAGCCTGCCTAAACCCTAGGCCCTAAAACCTAAACCCTAAATCCTAAACCCCGCTAGTAAGCCCCATTATATCGACCATGCCTCGATCCGCTCCTTCTGCACTTGCTGGTACTCCTGATGAGCTTTTTCAGTTCAGGGTTGTAGGGGTTTAGGTTTGGTTTAGCTGGGTTTGAGAGGTTTAGGGTGTAGCCCTAAACCCGAAATCTTAAACCCTAAGCTCTAGGGGCTGGAGGGCTTTAGGGATTTTAGGGGTGTAGGGCTTCGTCCAGGTCTTGGGTTTAGGGGGCCTGGTTGGCACTTGGGTTCCGTTGGGAGTACGCAATTCAGACTATTGGCTTGAGAGTTTCGGGAGAGACCCGGGTGGAGGGCTTCATGAGGGTTTAGGGATTTCGTGAGGACTTAGGGCATTAGTGTTGAATTCGGGCTGAGGGCGTTGGTTTAAGCATCTAGGAGTTTATTCTTGGACTTCAAGTTTGAAGTTCTATGTAGAGAGGTTGACGAGGGTTTGGGGCTGCAGGTGTTAGAGTTTCGAGTTCAAAGGTCAGTGGAGGCAAAGATGAAAGGCGCCGGGCTTGCTAAAGCTTTGTGGCTTTAGGGCAGTCGGGCTGCCGCCCTTAGCCCTAAACCCTAAACACGAATCCCTAAACCCTAAACCCTAACGCCTAAACCCGAAACCCTAAACCCTAAACCCCCCGAACCCTAAGGGCCTTGGGAGGAAGGTGCACAGAACGATTTGCCGGAACTGGGGTGGGTTTGGGGCCCTACAAGATTTGCATTGGTGTGGTGAAAGATGAGGTTTAAGGCATTAAATAAAAACAAAAAAACAAAACAGGACGCGGTTCAACCCTAAACCCTAAACCCTAAACCCTAAACCCTAAACCCTAAACCCTAAACCCTAAACCCTAAACCCTAAACCCTAAACCCTAAACCCTAAACCCTAAACCCTCCGTTCAACTTGAAGCCCGAGGCTCCTCCAGCGTCTTCTTGGCAGCCTCCTCGAGCTCCTTCGAGGCATTTGGGAGCTTCAGTGTTCTGGACTTCGGGTTTCGGGTTTAGGGTTTAGGGTATGCTAGGGTTTAGGGTTTAGGGTTTAGGGTTTAGGGTTTAGGGTTTAGGGTTTAGGGTTTAGGGTTTAGGGTTTAGGGTTTAGGGTTTAGGGTTTAGGGTTTAGGGTTTAGGGTTTCGGGTTTAGTTGGGATGGGTTTGGGTTTAGGGTTAGTCAGGGTTTAGGGTTTGGGTTCAGGCTTAGGGTTTAGGGTTGTTAATAAGTTGAGGAACTTACACTCAGTTGTCACAATGCCTAAACCTGACCCATGAAACCTACAGAGTCTGTGCGGGGGGGTTGATCTACATCATGCGCTGTTGTCGGGTCGCTTTGAGAAGCGAAGGACATATAGTTTGGGATGCCACATGGGGAATTGGATCAACCTCCCCCTAGATTCCTATACCCTTAGCCCCTCAATCCCCAAAAGACAGAGAGAGTACAGGGGTTAGGCCGCACCTGTGTCAAGGCCACCGCGTTGGCGCCGGCCTGAAGATTGAGCTGGCTCTTCTGTTTGGAGGGGGTAGGATTATAGGGTTTCGGGTTGTAGGGTCTCAGAGCCTTATGTCAAACTTGAAGGCCTGTTTTTCATTTCAGGGGTCGCAGGGGTTTAGGGTTTAGGGTTTAGGGTTTAGGGTTTAGGGTTTAGGGTTTCGTTTCTCTGGGGCTCAAGGCTTGTAGCACGTGGGCAGTTATCCTATACTGCTATATGGAGACTCATATCTGCGTTCCCACAATAAAGAGCTGCGGCTCTTGAAGCTCAAGACCCTCATCGCCATGAACTTATAAACCTTATATCAGCCCTTATACCAACCCTTGGAACCCTTACAAGCCCCATGAAACCCTACATCCCTGGCCGTGGTCTCAACAGGAAGCGGCGAAACCCGAAACCCAATTACTCTAAACCCTAAACCAGAATAGAAGAGCCTTTGCAGAGCCATTCTCCAGCGAAGTGCCACTGGCCACGTTCTTCGCGGTCCTGCCGTATGGAGCTTTCGTGCCCCTTTTGCGTGGTTCCCGTAGAGTACGGCTTGGAGCAGTTTGGGGTATCTTAGAGGCTTACTTCTCCAATGACCAAGGGGAAAAAAGGTTAAACTTTAATATTCCTACTAAATAAGGAAACCCAAAGAGTTTAAAGTTCAACTAAAGGCGAAGTAAGGAGGTACCCTCCCTTTTTTTGGGGGAAATGCCCATAGCGCCACCCTTGGGGAACTCAGACAGGTTTCAAGACCCCTAAACCCGTGAGGTGACCTCCAAAGCCGAAGCCGGGAGCCCAAAGGGTTAAAACAACAGAAACTTTGGGTTTGGGGGCTTTATAGGGGTTTATAGATGTTTATAGGGTTTAGGGGATAGCCGTGTCGGGAGCGGTCATTCAGGAATGAGCACTTCGTAGCCCAGGAACCATATTCTGATAAGGGTACCCTATTTTGGGGGGGGGGGGGGTGGTTGCTGTAGAAGGGAACCTACAACCAAAGGAGGGGCCACAGGACACCACTACGCTGCCGCGATCTTCTGGGGCAAAGGAAGTCTCGCATCCCTCACACAACACCAAGTCAGAGACTCGGAGACTAAAAAGCCCTAGACCTTGAACAAGGGGGGGCGAGGCTCAGTTTTCAACCCTAGACTTACCCTCAACCCTAAGCCCTACACCTTCAACCCTACCTAAACCCCAAGCCCTCAACCCCGAACCCAGCCCTAAGGAACGCAGGTACCGGTTGAAGTCCCAGCCCAGCTCTACACTCCTGTTCTTCGAAACCCAAAGCGACATCTGCAGAAGTGACCACACCCCCAGCCCCCAATTGGGTTTTGGCTTTAAGGCTTGGGGGTTGAGGGTTGCTACTATTCATATTAGTATTCCTACTATTATTATTAGTATGATAAGAATTACCATTCTTACTATTATTAAGGTTTCCCCGGAACCTCCCTTAAGAAGCTGTCGCAATCGACCCTCCCAACGCCTCCGGAGCTTATCCCGGTATCGAGCTGTGGCCATGGTGTCCTTGCTGATTAGGAGAGTTTGGGGCTTTTGACGTCTAAGGGCTATAGGGCAGGACAACGCTAGGTTTGGGGCTTAGGGTTGGCATTCTGACGTCATAAACCCGACGTGCCAAACATCCCAAAACCCTCAGCCCAAACGGTAAGCCCTAAACCCAAACTTTTCGTTCCGGAGGAGGGAAGGAGCTGCAGGGGTTTTAGGAAACTCGCGGGATCTTGATTCGAACAGCCCTGCATGGTTCGGGCCTGCAGCTTGCGCTCGAAGTCGTCCATGGAGGCGTCCCGCTGCTGGGCCAGGGTGGCCAGTAATAGATCTTCAGTAACTCCAAAATGTTATCGTAACGCATTGTTACGCTCCAGAGAAAAGTGGATGGTCTTTATCTCTCGTGGTGTAGGGATTATCATAGGGGTACGATACTTCCGATTAAGGACTGTTAGTAAAATAAGGGGAACATGTCAAGTTCCGGGGTTTCGGGGTTCACTGAATCCAAAGCGCCATGCACCTCAGACGAACCGTCACTGACACACGCCCGAGCTATAGTTACAGTGGATCATTCTTGTGCTTAGCAGAACAGAGGTTCTTCTGAGTCAGGGTCCCCTTATCGGTACCGTTCGTACGTGGCTGCCTCCACAAGCGACTCCAACAAAAAAGGACTCTACTTTAGAACAGCTGCAGACTGCTGGGATCGCGGTCACCCAACTCCAGAAGAAGGTACCGAAGGTACCCCCCCCCAATAGGGGGAGTTAACCTTAAATCCTAAACCTGAATAGGGTTTAGGGTTTAGGGTCCAGGGTTTAGGGTCTAAATGGCTGGCTGACAGCACCTCGCGCTCAACCGTGACAACAGGCTTGCCATCATCATCCCGCGAGCAATCCACGTGGAAGATCTGCTTGACCTTAGGGCTTAAGGTTTACAGGGTTCAGGGTTATACCCAAACCTTGAATCCAACCTAAACCCTAAACACCACCCCGACATGGGGTATATGGCTTAAGGTAGCCACAACCCCTCACCCAAAACGCAATCTCGATTCAGCCAAGCTACTGTTCAATAACCCAGGCGCACATGGGGGGTTTACGAAAATAGGGGTCCCCAAAAATAGACCCCAAATAGTAGGAATCTGCAGATTCCCTGTATAAACAGGACCCCAATAAGGTACCCCAATTTCGGAAACCTCCCCAAATACACCTGTGGCTTGACAGGGTTTTGTGATCCTAAGCCCAGGGTTTAGGGTTTAGGGTTTAGGGTTTAGGGTTGAGGGAACCCTGAACCCTAACCCTACAAATGGGGGAATATGGGTACTACTGGGCGCAAGGAGCCTGCTGTGAGCACCAGCAACCCTTACTGCAGCCAAAGACCCCTGAATTTCAGGCCTAGACTTGGTTAGGGTTTAGGGTAAACTTCAACCCGCAACGACCACCAAAGCAGAGCATCAGCCCAAATGACACGCGCCCTGAAATGGGATTCAAACACTAATGTATTCCCAAAAGGCCTGCAATGAACGTACAAGTCCACAACCCCCAACAGCGCGCAAACCTCCAACAAAAATACTTCCTTAAACCCCGTACGCCTCCCCCGCCACCCCCAGCAAAAAACAATGGGCTCCCCTGCAGCCCGCCCTGGGTCGTAGGTTTCATTTGGCGGTGTCCTTGGGACAGCTTGCGGGGAGTTGCAGTTTCGGGCTCAGGGTCAGGGTCATAAGCTTTCGAGTTTCGATTTGACGTGCACCAAATAAGCAGACACAGACCTCGACGAAACATCTTACGAAACCCTCGAACCCATCTCGAACCCCTTGTCAACTCTAAACCTGCATTAAACCTCTGTAGCATGTTCGAAGCCTTCATAAAGACCTGTACACCCCAAAGACAGCAAAGACAGCAATAACCGAACAACAACCCCCATAAGACCTTGATCACGAGCTTAGAAGCCTTATGAGGTAGTACAATAAGTCGGAAATAGGTTCAATAAATCTTGCAGGAACCCTTACAATCAGCCGTATACAAAAAGAGTACAATAAGTCTTAAGCCCGGGGCACAAACCTTACAATACAACTTCAAACCCTAAACCCTGGACCCTAAACACCAAACCCCAAACACCAAAAGCCTAAAACCCCGAGCCCTAAGCCCTAAACACAAAAACCTTCGAGCTCTACACCTACCTGTAAAGCCCTTGATCCAATTTTTTGATTTGGGGACTCAGGGGCGTGCTGTGCCCGGGCGTCCCAGAGCTTTTCACCACGACCGACACGGAGGCAAGTCTCGTGTCGAGGCGGGCTTATGAGGATTAGGGTTCAGGGCTTAGGGTTCAGGCTTTAGGCTTCGGGTGCAGGGGTCAGGGTTTCCGGTCTAGGATTTGAGGTTCTCAGTGGTGAATTTGGGAATTAGGTTCTGTAATATGATGACTGAGCATACGACTTTGGTCAGGTGTTGAGAGTTTGGTGTTTCAAGTTTAAGGTTGTTAGAGAATACATGTGGTAATTAGGAGCTTCTGAGCTTATGCTGCACCATGGTGCCATGATTGCTGGTGCTGCCAATTCCTAGAATGCAAAGAAAGTAAACCCGAAGACGCAAACAAGGTGTGGAATTGCAAGGAGCTCTACGGAGAGTGTCAAAGGTCTTTTTTGGTGGGGGGGGGTCACAAGCTTCCTGAAGCCTAGACCCTCGTCAAAGGCGAGTTCGGCTGTGCAGAGTTCATGAGAAAGCGGATGTTCCAGCAAAGTAATGAATGACCAAAACTGAGGCCTTTACCCCTTGCGTTGAGCATACTATGGCTGGGTTAGACAAGGAACTTAAATAGAGACAAGGGGGTCGGGAGGATAAGCCTCAGATGCTAAACCCTCTAAGCCCAATCGCAATGGCCTCATCCCCCAATGAGCTGGCGCCCGTCATGGGAACGGGGTCCTCCCTGCGCGACCACACAAAGCGTTGTTTGCGGTTTCAGAAGGGTGTAGGGTACCCCTATGTTACCCTACTTTGGAGTAGACATGAGTAGACCCTGGAAAAAAGTGTATACTTTTTAGGTACAAGTAGCTATAGTGGGAACCCAGAACCAAAAACAAATTACAGCATAGTACTCCCAAACCCAGGTTATAATTCAAAAGACCTCATCATGAGATTCCTAGGATTCTGAAGGACAAACTATCTGCGTCCCTGTCGAGTTTAGCCTGGTGTTTAGGGTCCATGAGGTTTAGGTTTTGGGCTCAGTGCGCGTGGTCTGTGCTTAGCGGGTCTGAGACTGACATGAAGCATAGAAGCACTACAAGCTGAACACTCAACAACTTAAACCTGTCAAACCCTCAACCGATACACATGGAACCCGAAGCCCTGAACCCCAATCCCTGAAGGGGTTCTGGGTTTGGGAAATACCAAAGTTCGCAACAGACACCGGCAGATATGAAAAATCAACAAAAAAACCACGCCTGTCGATGATTCCGCGGCTTGCGGAGCCTCGGGTAGAGACGTTGTATTTAGGGTTTATGGTTTAGGGTTTAGGGCTTAGGGTTTAGGGCGATAGCTACTGCACAGATGGGACGGGGCATAATGGTTGAGGGTTTCGGGTAGGGGTGGTCAAGGAAGTGCTTCTAACAACCCTCGCCGCTGGTGCTGTACAGAACACCCATTCCCTAAATCGCCCAGGGGCTTTAGGAGTTGAGAGGTTTAAGGGGCTTGTGGGTTTTAGGGTCTGAATCTTCAGTTTAAAGCTTAATTAAGGCTCAGGATTTCAACGGGTTCCCTGACAACACCACGAGGTCAGGGTTTAGGGCTTGCAGGGTTTGTAGGGTTTTCAGTACTTGTGGGGTTAGTAGTAGGGATTGTAGGGCTTGCAGGGCTTAAGGTGTAGAGACTGCACACGAGGTCTTGCATTCCCGAGGCCGGGGCTATTCCAACTGCGGATTTCCGAAAGCAGCCCCCGCTTGTAGTGGTCCCACCTGCCATTTTAAGGCTCTGAAGGCTCCCTCAGCTTCCCTCAGGTTCCCTGGGTAACTACCCACTACCCCCATGAACCTCCTCCCCCTTAAGAACCCTATAATGCCACTATCAGCAGACTATCAGGCTCAGGATTTTGGGTTTGAGGGCCCACCCCGCTTGTGCCATTTTCTTGGGTCTCGAAAAGTGGAGAAGTTCTAGCCCACAGGCCCCAACCCGAAGCATAATTATCCTAAATCATCTACCCTAAACCCCACACCCTAAAACTTTCAAGGATATTCGTAGCTTGGAAACCTACGCAGGGCGTTGCACAGCCCTGATGGCACACTCCTCACCAGCACCACCACCCTAAACAAGAAGCAACACAAACTAAAGAGCAGTTTTACAAATTTAATACATATGCGGATATATATATATATACATACATACATGTGTGTGTTTATGTATATATATATAGATATATATGTATGTATGTATGCATGCAGGAAAAGTGTACATACGCACACCCATACACAATTCAAATCATCGAGTCTGCGGCTCAAGAGAGCAACATGTACAAGATTGTTCTCGTGGGCATCAGCTCGCTAGCCCTCTTGCCTCTCTCTCCCCCTCTCTCTCTCTCTCAAAATGTATGTACATATTTGCCTTAGACATATATAAACTGCAGGAAATATAAACAAAACTATGCAATCACATCTAGCAGCAACATCGGGGCTGGGGCGCCTGTACTTCTGCACCAGCCGCCAGATCAGCTGCGAGTCTGACAGGCGGGCCTTGTCAGCCGAGGCTTCTGCAGCGTAGGGTTGAAAGGGTTTAGGGCTGATTGCGGTTTAGGGTTTAGGGTTTAGGGTGTAGGGTTTAGGGTTAGGGTTTAGGGTTTAGGGTTCAATTGGGATTTAGGGTTACGGGTTTAGGGTTTGGGGGATGTATAGGGGCGAGGAAAGGATGTGGGTTGAAGACGTGCAAGGCATGCGTAAGATGTCAGTAGTTTTTCAGTTCGTGCGGCTCTGCACTGAAATACGGAAAACATAATGTAGACAACACAACATGGCAACCTTATGGAGTTTAATGAATCATCTGCGCGTAGGGTTTGTTGCTAAACGCTTGCATTTCCCACATGATTCCTGTCGGGAACGGGACCTGCCTACACCCTGAAGGTTTAGGGACTAGGGTACTCAATCCTGAATGCTGAATGCCTAGGCTGACAGGTGAAGCTTTCGGGAAGACTTCGTCCCGCCCCATCCCCCGCATCACAGCTCTCCATGAAACGGCTCAGGCCCTAAACCCTCAATCCGAAGCCCTATATGCGCAAACAACCTTTTGCAAGGTGCCCTAAACCAACCCCCGCTAAGATAACCTTTAAAGCCACCCCTTGAGGACCAGCCCAATGCCCTACACCCTAAGCCCCTAAGCCCTAAATCCCGAAGCCCTGATACTGCGCCTTGTAGTTGCAGAAGAGGCGGTGCGTGATGGTCTTGTGGGTCCTGGCAAGGACAAATATAGCCGACTCTGCCTTCACAAGGCCCCTTGGAGGAAAGGGAAGGGGTTTAGGGGCTTCGCGTTTAGGATGTAGGGGCTTCGAACTTTAATTAGGGTTTTCGGGTTTACACACTAAGGCCCCAAAGCGCCTTAAAGCCCCCCAAACCCAAAAGCCTCAAAATTAAGCCGGCGCACCAAACCCTAAACCCTGGCCCCCCAAAAAGCGTATGAAACCCAAACAAAAACCGTGAAATCGTGAAACCATAAAGGCCCTTCGAAACCAAGAACCCTGAAGCCCTGATCCTTCCCAAAGCCCCACTATAAAAGACTACTACTCGTACCCTAAAACTGCTTTCCTGATGAAGTCGAACTTCGAGATGGAGTAGATCTCCGCAAGGGGTGCCGAGATCACCTCAAGGGATGCTTGAGGGGACCGGTTTAGGGTTTAGGGTTTAGGGTTTAGGGTTAGGGTTTAGGGCCATGGACCTCCTTATGGACTTGTCAGGCTTCAGGGGTTAGGGTTTCGGGGCGTCTTATAAGGGCTACTTTGCGGGCCCTAAAGCCCTAAGCCCGAAGTCCTGCAAGGTTTGAAAGAGGGTTGCTACGGGGCTTAGTGTTCATGGAGCTGGGGCTTTAGAGGTTGCAACATGCTCCCCCACACACACAAAAAACAGAACTGTCAGTGCGTACCCCTAACAAGAACACTCCCTGCCTGCATCCTACTCCAAAACCCAAAGCCCACAACAAAAATAGCTACACTGTGGGGTTGTGGCGCCAGGGCTTTACAGACGAGGCTTCAGAAGCAATGTCTCAAGCCCAAGGCCCTTCTTTCAAGCCCAACAGCCCGAATCTGAACCTGTGGCATAGGATGTATAGGTTTCGAATATAGGTCCCAGATCCCTAAACCCTAAACAAACTAGTCAGGACCCTGAATCCTGAACCCTGAAGAATAGGAATTAGGGCCCTCAGCCCTAAACCCTGCAACCAAAACTACTTAAGACCCTACGCCCTATACAAACCCTTAAAAAAGCACATGGTTTAGGACCCCTAACACCCTAAAACCCTAAACCCTCAACCCTAAAATCACGGGCTCCCGAAGCATCGTTCCAGGGCTCCGAGCGGTGCATTGGTAGGTGAGGCCCTCCATGAGCTCCATCACGCCGACGGAGCTCCCTGCTTCTGGGTTTAGGGTTTAGGGTTTAGGGTTCAGACTTTAGGGTGTATTGTAGTTCCTACTTGGGGGCTTAGGCCGTGTAGAGAGCGTAGGGGTTGCTTTAAGGCGCCCAAACGCCCTCCGGGGAAGCCTTTGGAGATGATGTCCACCACCACCTGCAGGCCCTGGTCGGGCGCCCGCTCCTGAGCAGTCCCCCAAATCAGAACTCGGGTATTCAGGTTGCGGGTTTGGGGTGTGTTTTTTTCTAGGGCTTGAGTAGGGTTTATCAGTCCCTAAAAACAGGGGCCGAAGGAGCCCCTGAACCCATTGCTTCCGAAGCCTTGCTCTTTTGAGCTAATTCATCCCTACATCTCTGAAGCGCCAAACAAGCCCCCTTCTGGTCTCCTCCTTAGGCGCCTCTGCAGAGGAGCTGCCTTGGAAGGAGGCTCAGGCTTGGGGTGTCTTTTTGGGCCTTCGAGGCTTCGGGTGTTCTGGGCCCTAGGAAGGTTGGGTTTGGCGCATAGTGGAAGGACAGTTTTGGAGTTTGGAGATGTAGGTCCAAGAGGGCTTCGGGGGTTTAGGGCTTGGGGAAGCTTAGGGGCTTACTGTAGGGAACTTTGGTGTTGCAGCCCCACACTCAAGCCTCTTGTTGAGCATATAGAGTTTCGCCGAGTTCTGCTTCAGCGTAAGGGAGCTTGCATAACTTAGGTCCTCCCTTTCACGCACATATCGTGGACTCCCCATTAAAGAAGCTACGTCACTAGGGTTGGTAAACTCTTCTATGAACTCGATACAACCCGAAATCTCAAGCCTAAAGGCTAAATAAACTCTAGGCCACAAAAACCCGAAACCCCAAACCCCTAAAATCCCAGACCCCGAAGCCGAAAGTTTTGCAGTCTTGCCCCAGCCAGAAAAAAACCGAGGCCCAGGCTCGTGGTATCGGTCCTGCGGCGGTATGGAAAATGAGTGAGAGAGAGAGAGAGAGAGAGAGAGACAGAGAGAGAGAGAGTAGAGTGAGTAGAGAGGAGAGAAGAAAGAAAGAGGGGTCAGGTCAACTCCACCACTCCTAACCTCCCCAACCTGGAACCAACCCCGCAAAAAACCAAGAGAAACACTCGCCAAAAGCCCCTGCGGGCCAAAAAACGCCCTACAGTCAACCCTAAACCCCTACCCCCTGAGCAGAGACTCTGATCAAGCCCGAAACCCGAAAGCCCTAAATCCTATAGGCCCCAAAGTCCTAAACCCAAGACTCATAAACTAAACCCCAAAACCCCTAAGAGAAAAAACAAAAACTAAACAAAAAACAAAAACAAAAACCCTCACCACAAACCCCAATACCCCTTGAAACAAAACAAAACTCACCACACAGGTGCCTCCCTGGCCGCTTCTCCGCAGAGGGGGAGGAGGCCTCCCCAGTCTCCTCGGTGGCCTTGGATGGGCTCATCACTTTCGATGGGGCGGGTCTTCATGGTAGGGTTTAGGGTTTAGGGTTTAGGGTTTAGGGTTTAGGGTTTAGGGTTTAGGGTTTGGGGTTTGGGGTTTGGGGTTTGGGGTTTGGGGTTTGGGGTTTGGGGTTTAGGGTTTAGGGTTTAGGGTTTATAGTTCAGGGTTGAGGGTTTAGGATTTGGGGTTCAGGGTTTGGGGGTTCAGGGGTTTAATTGGGGGTAGGGTTTCGGGCTCGGGGCTGAGGGTTTGAGGTGGAGGGCCTTCAGGTGTCAGATGTAAGGTTGCAGGGCTTCGGGAGGCTTGGGCTAGGGCGTAGGGCTTGGGCACTGTGTCTGGGATTAAGATTACTCCTAAACTCCTAAACTCCTCAACTCCTAAACTCCTAACTCCTAAACCCTAAACCCTAAACCCTAAACCAGCCATTCTGACCCAGGTGCCATCAGTGGCAGGACCTTCTTCAGCATCTGGTGGCCCGCGAGGGACTTGATACTGAACGATGAGTTGGCCGACACGTCCTCTGCCAGTCTCTGCGCTCATGGCGTCGCCTAAACTCGCTCCAAACCCTAAACCCTAAACCCTAAACCCTAAACCCTAAACCCTAAACCCTAAACCCTAAACCCTAAACCCCTGGTCCAGGTTTCTGGGCAAGTTCTTCCTAAGCCCAAAAAACTTGAAAGGACAGAGCATTGGCTGAGTTCAATTCAGCTTTGGCACCCCAAACAGTAAAACGTGGCCTTCTCAGCACACAAGAAGACTCAGCACTTTTGTTTACTAGTATGCGGACGACCATGTCGGGTAATGGGGGGCTGTTCACTGCTTTGTTATGGGGGGCCTGTTGTAAGGAATCCTTCTACAAACTACAAACGGCACAATTTTGCAGGGGAGGGGGAACCCACAAAAACCGCAGGCCCTTAAGCGTACACCCTTCTCAGAAAATGGAGCCCTTCGCAAAAGTCATGAAAACACGACGCCGTCCTCCGTCTTCGTGGACTTTCGCTTCGTCCGGTGCTGGTCAGGCCATACCCCTTTCCTTGCGGAGTTGATGTCTGAGAGGCTGTACTTTTCAGACTGAAAATGTCGTTCAGGCTCTTGATTTGCTAGTACCTTGGTCACTCGAGAAACACCTGAAGGTGTAGAACGTCCGAAAGCTCAAGCACACCTCAAAACAACAAACCCTTCAATGCTGACGCTGAACTCCCCAAACCCTAAACCCTAATCCCTAACAGGGACCAATATTATGTAGGTTTAGGTCGCATGATGCACACCTATAGGTCCTGATCTCTAATAAACCCTAATCCCTAACAGGGACCAATATTATGTAGGTTTAGGTCGCATGATGCACACCTATAGGTCCTGATCTCTAAGCTTCAATCAAAGACTCTGCCCCACCCGGAGACCGCCCTCCCCCTCGGCGAAGGGGTTGGGCATGGGCTCGCCATAGTGTGCGTAGCCTTAGCTTGAGAGTTGGTGGGCTTAGGGCTGAAGGTTTAGGGTTCAGGGTTTTTAAAGGGCATGTGCCTGAAGAGACGGGTGGTTGCTGTAGAACTTGAATTCAACAGAATTTAAAGATGCCCCTCTCATTACGGTACCTTCATGCAAGCAGCTCAACAGCAACCAAGGAGAAGGTAAAAAATCGTAACCCCAAAATTCCAAGTAGTTAAAGACAAGCTCCTTTTGCAAAGGCATATGCGCTACAGGGTACGTACCTTAAGTGTGGGCTTTGGGGCATGAGGGCGTTAGAGAACATGGGACTTGTCCAAGCGGCTTCGGGTTTCGGACTTAGTGAGGTTAGACTTGGGATGTTCCCACTTATACCAACAGTCCTTAATAGAGATTATATAGTACCCACTCTTTTACAAATTCCCTATTAAGGACTGCTGGTGTAAGGGGGGGACATCCCCAGGTTCGACTTCGGCTTGTATGATGGCAGATACAAGTGCGAGTCCGAAGCCCCACGATCCAAGCCCTAGATCGACCTAAACGCCTACAGCTTGGGATATTCCCCCTTGTACTAACAGTCCTTAGTAGGGATTGTCATAGGGGTTCATATGATCTTTAAGGACTAGTGTAAGGGGGAACATCCCACCTACAGTCCCCCAAGCCCCAACAAATTCCCTACACAGGCCCCTCGCAACAATCAACATGGTTGCCAGGGTGAAGGCCAGGGCACGGCAGAACATCTCGGTGTACCTCGGCGTGCACATCATGGCGACTCTGGCACTCCGGGGCTCTCGGGCTCCGTGCCAGGGCTCCGGGTCTGGGGTCGTCGCTGCTAGTGCACTTAGAACCCTTCCATGAAGTGGTTGAGCTGCAAAGATCGCCCTCCACACACATTTCCGACCTTGAGCGGGTTTAGGGTTGCCTACCCTATCAAGGGGGATATGGTTGGCCGAGCACCAAAGCAAGAATGTAGCTTTGCGGAAAGCGATAAGTTTGTGCGGCGGGAAGCCCTAAACCCGAAACTCAAAACCCTGAATCCAAAACCCTAAAAGCCTTACAACCCCCAGAGGGTTTATGGCCTTTGTGCGTTCAGAGCAAGTAGCTTGGGATGAAGCTGCCGAACCAGCTTGCAGAAGCCGCTCTTCACGAAGATGACGCGGTCCACCTCCACGAAGGGTTCAGGGTTTAGGGATTGCAGGGTTTTTAGGAATATTTCCAGGGACTTGATGAGCTGTAGGGAAATTTAGGCCTTTTAGGGTTATGAGGGTTGCAGGGTTTCAGCTGGCTTCCCTAAACACGTCCCTCAACACCCCCAAGCTGCAAGCTTTGATGCTTAAAACCCAAGAGCCCCTAAACCTAAACCGACAAAGATTGGCATCTAAGATTGGTCTAGGGTTTAGGGAGTAGGGTTTAGGGTTTCGGGTACCCCTAAAGTCCGTGACCGATAAAGATTGGGTAATGTTTACGGTTTAGGGTGATCTTAATTTTGGATGCTTCCCTCCCCAACCCTAGAACAGCACCAACAAGATATGATCGGTTCTAGGCTCGGAGCTGACACAACCTCAACACCATGTTCACCTGAACCCCATAGAGCACCCTAACAAAAAACCCACGCAATAAGCTCTGGGCACTGGACCCATCCCATCACTGAACCCTGAACCCTGACTGAACCCTGAACCCTGAACCCTGAACCCTGAACCCCGAACCCTGAACTTTGAACCCTGAACCCTAAACCCTAAACCCTAAACCCTAAACCCTAAACCCTAAACCCTAGCTGCCGTTGGCACCTCGGCACCCTGCTGCAGAATTTCGTGCTCGCCGACGTAGCTCTTCTCGGTGAGGTTGCCGGCCATGGCCTGCAAGTCCACGTAGGACATATCCTCCAGCAGACCCTCCTGAGGGCTGAGGCTGAGATTTACAGTCACAGTTTAGGGTTTAAGGTCTTAGGGCTTTGGGCTTTGGGTTTAGTCTCGGGGCGTTTCTGGTTTCTGGGCTACACTATGGTCCGTTTGTGCCTCGGTTCTCCTGGACTCCTGGCATCCAGGGCTGTAGTTTGCCAAGTTGGGGGCAATTTGGAGCTTTGGGGTCGTATCAGAGGCCAAAACGTCGCTTGTCCCATTTTCCCTCTCAAACAAAACCAGCCCAGCCCTAAATCTCCCAAATCCAAACCCAAACCCTAAACCCTAAACCCCAAACCCCAAACCCTAAACCCAACCCATTAGACGAAGACAGGCAAAATGCAAAACCTGAGCGCTCCTCCACACAGCGCAGATAGGCGGCCCTCTCGCGGACCCCGTTCCTGAGCTGAAAAATTGTGTGTTCAAGGCTATAAAAACGCTAAACTTGGGATGTTAATGGGGGTAATTTACCTATAATCCCTATTATAAGGACTGTTAATATAAAGGGGGGGACCTCGCCAGCTATAAACCCTAAACACTGAACCCTGAACCCTAAACCCTAACCCAAGCTTTAGGCTTGTGGGTAGAGAAGGCACCTAAAGGGTCTGCAGGTTTGAAGGGGGGATATCGTGCGCTGGTGAAGGGGGGGGGGGGGGGGGGGGGGGTCGGGAACGCTCCGCAAGCAAAACACCACAATCAGACGGAATCTTGGGCAGCCGAGACAGAGTTGTTGAGTTCACAAGCCCCAAGTGTACCCTTTCAGTTCTATGGGTGGTTGTCAAAATTATGGTCCCTTTTTTGGATCCCTACTATAATACGGCACCTAATATTTAGGGTACCCCCAAAAGGGCTCAACATTTTGACAACCGCCCCTATAGGGGACTATAGTATCCCAAAAAGTGTAAGCGACTGAAAGTGCACCCAGGGCTCTCCTGCGACATGCCGATGCACCTCGATGGCCGCACGAAGAAATCTGGGGGGGGCTTACGAAAGTAGGGAACCTTAATACAGACCCCCAAAACTAGCAGGATCCCCTTGTAATAAGCACCCCAAACAGGTACCCCTGATTTTCGGCAAGTCCTTGAGGTTCTGGCCTGAGGGTGCTCAGGGCTTAGGCAATTTTTGGGTTTTGGAATGTTTCGGAGGTTTGACGATTAGGGGTTCGGGGTTTAAGGGGTTAAGGGTTATCGGAGTTCATTCTTGGGGTTACATGCTTTGATAGCTATGAGCCTAAGAAGGGGGACTGGACTCCTGGTCCATCTGAGTCACCACAAAAAATTCCCCTGTTAGCAGGTATAAGTGTTGCACCCCAAGCCAGGCCCGAAACTCGACCCATCTCAAAGAGACTTCAAAGAAGCATCAGGACACAACGCAAGCTTCAGAGATTCAGGCCCAGGGTTTCGGGCTGAGTCACCCCTAAACCCTAAACGAAACCAAGCCCTAAACCCTAAACCCTAAACCCTAAACCCTAATTAAACCCTAAACCCTAAACCCTAAACCAAACCCAAACTCTTCTCAGCCGGGCGTCTGAAAGTCGTCGCGGTGAAGCGACAGGAGCTCTGAGTGTTTCAGAGCCGTGCAGCGTCCTTTCCTGCCGCACAGTTTGGGGGTGCGTAGGGTTTAGGGTTTAGGGTTTAGGGTTTAGGGTTTAGGGTTGAGGGTTGGGGTTGAGGGTTGAGGGTTGAGGGTTGAGGGTTGAGGGTTGAGGGTTTGGGGTTTAGGGTTTAGGGTTTAGGGTTTAGGGCTTAGGGCCTAGGGTCCAGGGTTTAGGGTTTGGGGTTCGTAGGGTGTAGGGGCCCTAAGCCTAAACCATGCGAACGTGTTCGCTTACAGGGCCTGGTTATGGGGCTTTAATTCGGCCACGGCGTGCCGCTGTCGAATGACATGGCAAACGCGGCATCTTCCTATCGCGCCAGTAGTTGCTGCGCAGTCTTATAGAAGAAAAGCAATATATCAAATTTACGAAGTCATTCTAATAGTAATAGTAACATAAATACATGATGATTATTGAAAAAATTAGAAGCCATATCAGTTTACCCCCTCTTGTTTATCAACTCCTGCGATGTGCCATCGCCTCGTCATGATCGCCCAGATGTGTGTTTTTTTTTTTCGTTTTGCCCCTGCCGGTGATAAACTCACAGAAACCTTGAGCTGCATCTCCCCAGTGTCATAGGAAAACTGCGGGAACTTGGGTATGTTAGGGAAAGCGACCACGCCCCCAAATGCAAACAAGAAAAACAAGAGCGTAGGGTTTAGGGATGTTTAGGGGTTAGGTGTCCACTGGGGGCCCTATAAACTCCAGTCAGAATCACTTAAAAAAGCCTTGTGACGGCTTTTGGCGGTCCTCTTGCAGTCCTCGCTCATGAGAGCGATTTCGCCAAAGACCTGCCGGCCACATCGGTGTTAAGGTTGAGGTATGTGGGTTCTAGGGTTTGGGGTTTGTACCCTGCATTTAGCTTGGCTGCTGCCAGGTTCTGCAGGTGTCTGACCCCTCGTCCGACATGCTACGGATGCCGCAAGAGAAAATTGAGCTTTGAACAAGTAATCTCCCACGGATGTGAACCCATTAAAGCCTGACAATCGCCAACCTCAGGAATATTAGTTGCAAGGCACCTTGGCACTGTGAAGCCACCGACAACCCTCAACACCCGAAGGCCACATCCTGACCAAAAACTTGAACCTTATCCTACACCACCCAAAACATGTCACATCGACTTTCGTATTTATACAAACATACAAACACATGGCACATATGAAGAATATACACATGCAATCTGACGTTGACTAGTTTGTTTGTATAAATTACCACAGAATACAACTCTAGTCTGACGGTCAGCCAGCCTTTCCCGTCTCGAGCTTGATGGGCTTTGCCTCAGAGTCGGTTGCCGGGTTTTGGAAGGAAGCTTCAGGCACCGGGCTCATTGAAGTACTTTCTGGTCCCAAAGCCTCCCTCGCCCTAACCTTCCTTAGACCCCTCCCCCCCCCCTTTTCCCTTAAGGACCTAATGTAGGCTCAGATAAGGGGCTTATCTGCAACCCTTCATCCTTGGGTGGCTGAGGCGTGGGGAAGGAAGGGACAACGAAGGTGATCGTAGCTCTTCAACTTGATCTTGCGGGGCGTAGGTGTAGTGTTGTGCTTTTCGGTATGGGGGTCTCATCAGGTTCCCTACCTGCAACCCCCAAGCCTACACTTTCGGGTTTAGGGTTTAGGGGCTTAGGAATAGAGACCCCACGCCATGTTAAGCCCTCAGCTTTTTGAGCACGGCGCCCCGAAGGGGAAACGGCCAACATCCAAGAGAGAAACGACTGGAAGCTTTGTAGCGCAAAGCTTTCTTTGTGTATTTTGGGTTGGATTCAGGGTAGCAACATTGAAGCTCTAAACCCTAAACCCTAATCCCTAGACCCTAAACCCTCTTCAGCTTCGTAGACTACTTCCCGCCCACCTGGTAGCTATAACCCATCTATAGCTGGCGAGGACAGTCCCAGAGAACCATGCTCTGGACCTAGGCTTCCATTTTGGGGGCCTTGGGGCTGAAACCATACACACATATGTATACATATATATATATACATACATATATATATATATATTATATTATAGTAAATATATGTAAATATATGTAATCATGTCATGATTACTTGAGGTCGTAGAAGGTTGGGAGATGGCGGAGGCTCCAAGCGCTCTTTGCGCAACGCCTCTCAGAGAAGAGCCGCGAACGAAACGGAGTTCAGGGCCAATCTGCAGTGACCTGCGCTTCACCCCTAAACCCTAAACCCTAAGCCTTTAGGTTGGGGAGGGACGTGCTACTGCTAGCAGTGTATGAGGGTTCATTAGGGGTTCGTGTTTGGGGCTGCTGCGGTTGCAGCTCTGTCGGGCGCGAAGCCCGTTCCCGAAAGAGGCTGCTTAGGGCCTGCAAAAGCCCTACGCATCCTTATCATGCAAGGTGAAGGCCCTGAACGCAAAAACGCTGAGAGACTGTGGCCCCTAGAAGCCTAAACTAAAGCCCAAAACTGTACCAAGCTCTTCCTAGTAAACCACTCCCTGTAGAATCAAAACCTCGAACTGGAATGAAGCATCACAGCAAACGTTGTACTACTCGTACCCCAGAACCAAAGCCTAACCCAAAACCTAAACCATCCTAAATCGCGAAGTCAAAAACCCGAAACCTCCAGCTGGAAACCTCCATATCAACCCCAAGCCCCACTCCCCAAACCACCAAACGCCAAATCTGAATCCCGATTCCCCTAGCGCAACCATAGCCCGAAACCTTGCCAAACTCTGAACCGCCAAGCCCTAAGAGCCCCCAAGAGCCCTTACCCCAAACCCCTAAACCCCTAAAGCCTGAACCCCTAAACCCTAAACCTATAGCCCTAAACCCTAAAACCTATAGCCCTCAACCCTAAACCCTAAACCCTAGCCCTAAACCCTAAACCCTACGAATAGGTTCCTCATAAACTCAGCAACTCCATGCAGGCCGACCTCGGCCTCTTCCATGCTCGCCGCCAAACAGCCCAAGGCGCCCAGGAAGTCGGCGTGGCGCAGGAAGAGGGCCGGGCCGCATTCCAGGTTCCTCTCAGCATGTGGGTTGGGGTTTGGGGTTTGGGGTTTAGGGTTTGGGGTTTGGGGTTTAGGGTTTAGGGCTTAGGGTTTGCGGGTTGGGGTTTGGGGTTTAGGGTTTGAGGTTTAGGGTTTGGGGTTTAGAGGGTTTAGAGGGTTTAGAGGGTTTAGGGTTTGGGGTTTGGGGTTTAGGGTTTGGGGTGTAGAGTTTAGGGTTTGGGGTTTGGGGTTTAGGGCTTGGGGTTCGCGGTTTGGGGTTTATGGTCTTACGGGGAGCTCAGGATTCAGGAGTGCATGCTGTGGAGTGTGCCTTCAGCATTTTGGCACGCGAATTCACCTTTTTCAGGGCTACTTTAGATGTTGTGCCTAGGGCTTGGGAATTAACTGCGGATGCGGGTTTGGCTTTGGGGTTGGAGGTTTTGTCGTGTCCGGATCCCCAAAGCCCCTTAAACGCCGGCTGGGGGTTCAGGGTTCAGGGTTCAAGGTTCACCCTCAACCCCTAAAACCCTACTAAACCCTACTAAACCCTACTAAACCCGACAACACCCTACTACACCCTACTAAACCCTACTAAACCCTACTAAACCCTACTATTAAACCCCAACACGGCATAGGGATCAAAAGTTCGGGCCGGGGCTCCGGAACGATCTGGAAATGATTTCCCAGGCTCTCCGGTTCTCGGCCAGGAAGCCTCTGCGGACAGCGCCGTATGTCAGTGTTAGTGTGTTGGTGTGGGTTTTTTGGTCAGTGTGTTGTGTACCAGTGTGTACCAGTGTGTTCAGTGTGTTCAGTGTGTTCAGTGCGCCCAGTGTGTTAAGTGTGTTAAGTGTGTTCAGTGTGTTCTTGGGGGCGGGGGGTTGAGGGGTTGAGGGTGGGGTTTGGGGTTGGCCAATGTTCATGGGGGCAGCACAAGAACAGGTGGATCCGAGCGAAAGTACTTAGGGAGCCGACACCTGCTCAGCCGCCTTCGGCCATCAATGAACCCTCCATAATCCTGAGCCCGAGTGAACGCCCATGCATCGTTTAGGGTTTAGGGCATCTATAGGGTTTAGGCTACCCCTAAGCCACATGAAAACCTTGAAGCCTCCTAAGCCCGAAGCCACGCAACACGCCATACATTGTAACGCTTTCGAGGCGGGAATCAGGGCACTACTGCGCATCCGAGAACTAAACCATCAGGGTTTAGGGTGTAAGCCCCAAACCCTCAACCCTAAACCCGAGAATGCAGCTAACAGCACCGCCGACGAAGAAGACCGGCGTCTTCCGCTCCCCAGGATAGGGCGCCGCGCCCAGCAGCTGAGCCTGTGGATCACGGTTTCGGGATTCGGGTTCATGGGGCTTAGGGTTTTGGATTCAGGTTTGGCTTGTCAGGGCCCTAAATGCAGGTTTCTCAGTGACTTACGAATGTGAATAGAACCTTTGTTGCTTTCTGGGGTTTATGATAGAACCGGACCCCGGGTTGCCCAGAAACTTTGTATCTCTGAATGAGGTCTTAAATGGTAGCCTTTCAAAACTGCAGAAGAGGACTAAGGGTACTACTGACTAGTGGGCGTCCTGAAATGCCCTTACTCCCTAATTTTTGTAAGCCCAGAACACTTTTAAATCCCCGAGCCCTCTAATCCCTACAATACGCTTACAGGCCTAGATGCATTACCCCCACGAAGCCCATAATCCCTGTTCTAACAAGAACTTCTGAGCCCGATTTAAAACCCCTTGTGTAACCCTCAAACCAAAACCTGACACCCCACACCCGCACCCCAAACCCAAAACCTGACACCCCACACCTGAAACCCAAAACCGACAACCTACACCCCAAACCCGAAACAGTAGAACCCGAAACCCTCAGGAAACCCTGAACTTGAAATCCTCAAGAAAACCCGAAAACCCAAGAAATGCTAAATCCTCAATTCCTGAACCCAAAACCCTCAATCCCAAACCCTCATACGCCCCAAACCTAAACCCTAAACCCTAAACCCTAAACCCTAAACCCTAAACCCTAAACCCTAAACCCTAAACCCTAAACCCTAAACCCCTAAACCCCTAAACCCCTAAACCCTAAACCCCCAACCCCCAAACCCTCAACCCCAAAGCCTGGCCTTGGATCTCTGCGCGGCGGCCTGCAGATCCCAGCTCGAGCCGCAGCCTGGATTTTAAGGTGTGGTTAGGGGTTTAGGGTTTAGGGTTTAGGGTTGAGGGTTGAGGGTTGAGGGTTGAGGGTTGAGGGTTGAGGGTTGAGGGTTGAGGGTTTAGGGGTTAGGGTTTAGGGTTTAGGGTTTAGGGTGGACTTAGGGTTTAGGGGTTCAGGCTTATCGGGTGTGGATTTCGGGATTTTTTTGGGCCTCAGAGGCTTGGGAGGAGGATTGGCCAGTTGTCATAGGCTTTGGTCTCCTTCAATTTGGGGAGTTTAAAGGACTGGAACGCTAAAAACCCCGAACACTAGAGCCACGAAATCACAAAACCTGCACTAAGGGCTCGGTGCGCCAACAACCTCGAGAAAAGAAGCGAGGAAAACCCTGGTTTGGTCCCCCCACCCCGTTCCAGCCCCAACACTATCCCGCGATACCCCTTTGTTGAAGGGGGGGGGGAGGGGGAAGGCGGGGATGTCTCTAAGAACATTACAACACAAGGCTAAGCAATGAGCACATAGGAGTCCACCGGGGGGTCCTATTTAGGGAAAGGGGAAGGGGGGGGGGGTGTCCCTGCGAACTGCCTGTGGAGTGGAATCTCCGAACGCGGCCGTCCGCAGCGTCTTCATCTTTCCTCTCCTCCACGGGATGGGGCAAGAGCAGGGCAAAGGAAGCCCCCCCCAAAAACCCCCAAACCCTAAATTCCCAAGAGGGTTTCGGGGTTGAATCCTTCTAGGAAGTCATCAGCCCCGAGCCCGCCTGAAAAACAAATCCTGGAGCCACAAAAGTGGGAGCCAGGTTGTAGGCAGCAAACCGTAAGTCGATGTACCGGACTTGAGTAGGTTCACGGTTTAGGGATAAGTTAGGAGGGTTTAGGGTTAGGAGAGCTTTTTTTCCTACTTACCAGAAATGGGTGCCGTTGAGAGGGTTTGGCGTCCGGCAATTTGTTTCGGAGGGTTTGGCATCCGGCAATTTGTTTCGGAGGGCTGCCACATTAGGTTCGGTAGCCATTCTAGTCCTTACGCTTAAGGGCCATTACAAGCCCCAACACCGTCCTCTGACTTTCTCGCATCATTGTGGCTGCTGCCAGTTGCTGTCGTGCTCGCCACCGAGCGTGAGAATGCTCGGGCGATGACGGTGCTGGCAGACACGACCATGGTGAGCACGGCTGTAGCCACATCCGCCTGGGGTTTAGGCTTTATAAGGGTCCTCCTTAGCATCATCTAGTCAATAATGCAAAACAACCATGGTAATAATCGTCGCAACAGCAATCATATTCAGAAGCCGCGTTAAACTTCAACAAGCCCTGTTACTAGAATTTGGGGTTTCATAGGGCTATACCCTTGCGGCGGCCTGCTAAAACAAGGTAGCACGCGCGCTGGAGTGCCCTGCGTTTTGTTGGCATGCGTTGGGTGTGGTTAAGTTGGAAAGTGTAAAAAACCGAGGTTTTTGACTCATTCCGGTTTTCGGAGCCAGGAAGACACGCCACTGATCCCTCGAAGGGCGGGCGCTTTTTCTTGAAAATGAGTGTTTCGCCTAGGCGGGAGCCTTGTTTTGAAAGGCAGGAAAACCGAAAAGTTGTGTATACCATGTTTTAGGTGTTTTGAGCTTATTTGTAAGGATTTTTGAGGGTACTTTTTGGGGCTTGCATGTCCTTGTGTATTTGTCGGGCCCCCGAACCTCAGAGTTCAGAAGGAAAGCACAGATCTTCGAACCTTTATCTTGTCAGGGCAGTGAGGACTCAAGTTCAACACAAAGTTTGCGGAAGACAGTGGCTCCATGGTAAGGCTCCTGGTAAGGGTCGAGGGCCGAGGGTCAAGGTCTTAACATGGATATTCCCAACACGGATATTCCCAACATGGATATTCCCAACCCCCCCACCCCCCAAGCTGGAAACCCCAGGAAACGCAGGGCACACGAGGGTGCGTCCTACCTAAAACAACAGCCATCCCCCAACACAAAGTAACACTCAAACCCTAACACCTAACTTAGACCCGAACCCCTAACTGTGAAACTGAAACACCCCCCAAAAAGACCCGAAAACACTGAGCAACCTAACCCTAGACCTTTAACTCTCAGACCAAAGAGTCCACACTCCCCCAACCCTACACCCCAAACCCGAACAAAACCCAAACCCCAAACCCAAAAAAAATCTCAACGCCCACCTGGTGGTTTCACGAATTTGGGGGGTTTTTCTTGGGGTCCCCATTTACAAGGGAATCCTACTCTTAGGGGTCTATTTTGGGGGGTCCCCCCGATTTCGTATACACCCCCACCTCGGAGTAGCAAGGGTTGTCGAAGTCCTTCATCGTCACCTTGGCGAAGTGCGCCGCAGTGAGGCCCGGCGCCAAACCCAGGTTCCCGCAGCCTTCCTCTAGGGTTCTCTGGGGTTTGGGGGTTTAGGGTTTGGGGGTTTAGGGTTTCGCGTTCAGGGCCTATAGAGTGCTTTATCCAGCTATACCGTGCGGGGTCTGTAGGGTGGGGACAAGGTTGGGGTGGAGCCCTCAGAAATTCGGGGTTCGGTGGTTGAGTGTTTATAGGTTTAGGGCTAAGGCTTGGTGGTCAAGACGGGCTGTGAGGCATCGCAAGCACAACCTCCACAAAGGGGCTCCTCGCCGTAAATGTCGCTGACCAGCTTGTTGACATTCCTCCGAGACTCCCACAAGTCTGGGTCAGAGGGTTGCTGAGGCCTTAGCTAGTGGGCTTAGGGCTTATATGGTGGTTGCCGAGATTAGGGTACCTTGCTGGGTCCTTATTACAAGGGAGTCCTACGATTTGGGGGCCTACTTTAGGGCCCCCTGTTGTGGTAGACTCCCATATGAAATTGGCATCCTCAGGAGCTCGCAGCTTCTTGAGACATGCGGGGCGCGATTCGGAAGTCTCCGGATTTCCGGAAAGCTCAAGAAGATCGGGCGTGCACAAGACCCTAAACCCTAAACCCTAAACCCTAAACCCTAAACCCTAAACCCTAAACCCTAAACCCCAAACCCTGACCCCCCCCCCCCCCCCCAACCCCTAAAACTTTAAGGCAGACGAAGCAAAGCTACTACACGGTATGGTGAGGTCATGCTAGCGTGACATCCCAATTCAGAGTCGCCCGAGGACTTGGTAACAGCCTTGTGAACCAGGCCAATCACCTAATACCCAATCACCTAATACCCTTTGAACTCGAGACCGGCCGATCATCCCTAAAAACCCTTATAACACTGTGCTTACTATACACCCTTAGTAGGGAATGAAGGACTTAGGGTCCTATATATGCCCTCTAGGGGATTATGGCCGGTATAGGGTCTAAGGGCAGGCTCTCCTGGCATCCCCCTTCTGCGCGAGTGCCAGGCACTCATGGAAGGTCTTGGCGGAAGTCAGGAGCCTCGCACAAAAACCCTGAACCCTAAACCCTAAACTCCAAACGCTAACGAGGGTGGCGGTCTTCTGCTTCAGTCATTGAGGGTTGAAGGTTCTGGGATTTAAGAAGCGTATGGCTTAGGACGTAGAGGCTCACATGCTGGTTGAAGGCAGGGGGGAGGGGGGTGAGGTTGGAGATTCCTAAATCCTAAGCTCTAAGCCCTAAACCCTACACCCTAACCAGAAAGACATTGAGGATGCCAGATGCCCAAACCTCAAGTGTCCCCTTCCCCCACCGAAAGAGTAAGAGGAAAAAACACATCCTGAGATTCCCCAGAGTCCTAACGTTTATTTTGTGAAGTAAGGTAGGCATGTGAGAGCCAAGACCCCAATAAAATTGTTCCTGTTTGGATTCGCACAATCAATCCCGGATCGCCCAAACCTAAAACCCTAAACCCTAAAACCCGAAAACCGACACACTCTCAAGCCTGAAACGCACAAAAATCAAAACCTGAAATACCCTAAAACCCAGTGGCTTTCGGGGGCCTCACGAGGCCCAGGAAAGCGGCACCCCCCGTCGCAGTGCCGCCCAGGCGAGTGAAGAAGGGGCTTGAGCCGTCTTCGCCCTGGTCCACACGGAGGACCTTGAGAGCTTGTTTAAGTTTAGGGGGGGTTCAGGTTTTAGGGTTTTAGGGTTCAGGGCCTAGGGTTTCTTTGTGATTTCGGCAAGTAGAACCATGTAACATCGGGTCACATCTGGCTAGAAGGTGTATTTTGAGCAGCTTATGCTGCAATTACTGCGAGCATACAAGGGAAGACATACAACCCCGAGCCCTGAAACCCAAAACCCTTGTCCCCAAATCCCTTCAGCCCCAAAGCCCGTATGGGCCCTTAAACCCCGCAACATAAACGCTGAAACCCTAAACCCTAAAACCCAAAACCCTAAAACCCTGAAACCCTAAACCCCAACCTCTGAGGTCCAGAGACCATTTGCCGGGGCTCTTAGAGGCCACGGGCTTTTTTCACGTGGAAGCGATTCTGTTGGATTGGTTGCTGTCGGTTTATGGGGGCTTAAAGGGCCTAATTGGGGTTTGGGGTTCACAGCGTAAGGCACGCAAACCGAGCCAGCAGCCCCAACCCCCCCTATCCAGCCCAACCCGCCATCACATGTCCAAGGTGCACTGACACCCGAGCCGATGTTCACAATGATGCAAGGATACATGGGATCGGGCCAGTCCACAAACTCCTGGCATTTCTTGTCAAACTTCATTTTCGTTTAAGCATAACCCCTGCAAGCCCAGGCGAATGTCAGAAGGTATGGGCCTGCCATTTACAAGCTCAAGGGCTTTGAAGGACCTTCTCCGCAGGGTTTGTGCGGTTGGAGGGACGCTCAGGACTGTACTTGCGAGGTTTTACAGTCGTTCCATTTTCCCTTTGTTTCGGGCGTGTGAAACGGGGCTACTTTTCTTTTTGAGGTCATTGGGGCGCTGGGGGCGAGCACCGGGCCTCATCGGGCAAAGACGGTGGAGGTGCGCAAATCTCATGCCAAATGGCCTTATCCCCTAACCCAAAAACCCTAAAGCCTTGAGGAGGTTCCTTCTGCCCTATACGTCATCAGGAAGTCAATAGGAGAATTGGGGTGTCACCCTAAACCCTAAGCCTCAACCCTGTAGGGTTTCGGGATTTAGGAGATTGAGGGTGTAGGGCTTCGGGAACCCGAAACCGCTTTTCCCGCTCGCCTTGGTACCATCCGGTAGGATCCTCGGGGTTTCTGCCGCCAGGCGCGGGCGGTCTAAGAATGTAGGGTTTAGGGGCTAAGGCTTAGGGGCTATTACCCTCAAGTATCTTGGTAGCCCAGGAACCATCTTACGGAATCAAGAAAGGGGGTAAATGCAACCACCGGGCTACCAAGGTATAGGGCGGGGTTTAGGGGCTCGGGGTTTGGGATTCATCGGAGCTTTACAAGCATGGGGGTTGGAGGTTCTGGCATCTTAGGTGGATTCAGGGCTTGAAGTGTCGCAGGCTACTAGGTGTAGCAGGGCAGTTTGGGGGAAGGGCAGGCAGGATGTCAACTGTCAGCAAAGCCCACAAACACAAAGAGACTGAACTCAAAACCCAAAACCGCGAAACCCGACAAACCCCAAGTCCGAGCATTCATGAACCCTCCCTTGCCAAACCCCCTGCATCGCCCCTCTACCGACCCCACTCTGCTGGAATCGGATTCTACGGTTTCTGGCTTGGGGTTTGGGGGTTTAGGGTCTAGGGTATATGAATCCACCCTGTAAACCCGATTAACACCGTACTGTATATATATATATATATATGTGTGTATAGATGTTGATTCATGTTTACTTTCGCGATTCACACACAAATAGACTGCAATATACATACGCACACATATGTATATCCAGGTTGCTATATATGTATATATATATATATATATGCATACACATTTATAGCCAGATATATATATATATATATATAGATAGCTGTGTGTGTGTGTACCTGTTAAACCGTGCGTGGCGCCTAACCCCCACAACTGCCAAGCAAAGGCTCTGGAACACTTCGTCCTCAGGGCCATAGTGGTGGAGCAACGCCAGGCCGCTCACGAGAGACTCCATCTCTTTGAAAGGAACCACCTGCACGTGGGTTAGCGGAGTTTAGGCCCTTCTAAAGGTACCCTGATCAAGAACAGGGGCTTGTTTACAACAGTAACCCGCGAAACGCGACCACAGGCTAGAGATAACTTACCAGGAATTTCGATTCGGAGCTGTGGGGCGTTGGGCTCTGGTTTGGAAGGCCAAACAAAGTCCCAGGCCTCGGGATTACCGACCCTGCGCGTCCAAGACCAGAAATCCCAAATCCTGAGCCCTGTGTGCCACCTGGGTTTAGGGTTTAGGGTTTAGGGATTAGGGTTTAGGGTTTAGGGTTTAGCCCATCCAGACCCTTGAGTTGAGGGAAGAGGGATTCTATGGGAGCAGTTCTCCAAAAGTTGGTCCTTTTTGGGGCGACAAAGGTTCTGCTTGGGCACTTCTCTGCTTTTCTGAAGGGGGGGGGGGTGATCTGAACCTAACCGCTCCGCAGAATCATAGCTACCCCCCGAAAAGGAGACCCGAATTTTAGGGAACCCCCCTCGCCATTTGGTGGAGTTGCTGCCGTTGAAAATGTCCGGGGAAACAAGTTCCCCGCCTCCACCGTGAGTGACTCCCTAAACAGCTGCGCAAGACGATGCGCCCCGCCGCCGGCTACGACCACACGCCGCCTGGACGAACAACTATAACCCCAAGCTTCCGAAAGCCGAAGGTTCCCCCAAGCTAGGCTTCCTAAGCTTTTTTCTTTTCCCAAACCTGATACAGACCCCAACCCAAGTAAACACTGAGAATCCGGCTGAAGGTTCCTACAAGCTAAGTTTCCTAAACTTGTTTAAGTTTTTCTAAGCCTTATACAGGCCCCAACCCAAGCAAACACTAAGAACCCGGGAGTATTGACCAATCCTTGGGGACTGGATGATCTGTGGAAGGTTTAGGGTTTTGTGCACTTAGGGTGTAGAGATTGAGTGTTCAGGGGATTGGGTTTATGTTTCAAAGCTCCGAAACCCCAAAAAGACCCATAAAAAGCTCCTAAACCCTAAAGACCCATACAAATGTCTTAAGACCCCAAAGACCCATCTAAATGTCTTAAGACCCCTCTACAAGCCCTATGCCTGTTGAACACTCTCTGCCGGGTGGCATGGCCGGCACGGGCGCGGGCTCTGCGGCCTCCAATCCCTGGAGGCTCTTCCTCAGAAGCGTGGGTTCAATCCCTTCCCTCTGATATTAAACGCCCTCCCCCCCCCCAATAGAAACTCGAAATGCGTTTTGATTATTAGGGGGATGTTTGTCTCCAAATGTCACATTTGTGGTCTACAGGGTTTAGGGTCTAGGCTTCAGGGTTTGGAGGGTCCAAGTAATTTCTTACTTAAAAAGGGAAGGGAGGGCTGGTGGGAAGGGAGCTTCAGGATGTTGGTTGGTTTGAGGGTTGTGGGAGCCCTCAACCCAACCCCCCCCCCATATTTCGGAATCGAGTTTACAAGGTGGGGTCGGTTTCGGCAGGATTTTTCGGAAAGTGTTTCATAATATAATTCGGGGGTTGGCTGACTTGTGAACCCCTCCTAAAGGTCTAACTTTTAGGGTCCTTCTTGTGGTTTCCACCAAAAACCCAAAAGTCAAAGTCCTAAGAGCCAGCCAAAAGGAAGCCAAGTTCAGGTTCACTCGACATGCCAAAAAGGAAGTCCCACGCATTCGTCCGCCAAGCCTTTCAACCCATGTGAGCCTGAAGAACTCGAGGCTCCAAGTAGAACCTGGATTGTAGGATACCCGAAAGACCCACACCGCATGCACACTTCATTCAACCGCACCTTAAAGCCTGAGAACTCCCACACCTTGAAGCCCAGAACCTCCCCAAACCCGTCGACCCTAAACCCGAAACCCTAAACCCTAAACCTCACTACACCCCACGACACCCCTGCGCTCATGTCGACTGCCGCCCTGCTTCAAAACCATCTCCAAGCCAAAGGTGGCGCCAGACAGAAAGTGCACGTCGCGTACCATGTCCTGGGCTAAACTGACTAGTTCTAAATCTAGAGCGTGGAATCAGGTACGTGCGCTCCCACTAGATGACCCTTTAAGGGCATGTAGCGGGTGCCTAATTCCCTGAAGTCTGAAAATCATGCGAACTCTTGGCAAGTTGGAGGCTGGGGAAAGGTCTACGCTTTTAGAAGGCTTGGAAGGATTTAGGGATTGAGGAAGTTCAGGTTTTCGGGGGTACATGATGAGAGCGTTAAGGATTTGGGGCGGAGGGGGGTTGGGAAGTGGGAGTTCAACGATTCTAGGGTTAGTGGGTTAGTGCTGTGGTTTAGGTATGGTTTGGATGTTTCAGGTTGTGGTTTAAGGAACCAAAGGGTTTGGGGACATGGGTGACAAGCCAACCCCCGCAACCCTGAACCAATCTAAAGATTGAACGCTGAACCCCAAAATCTACATTCCTCAACCATAAACCCAACCCGCAGTTTAGGGAAATATCCCATCTCCATGTAGATGTCCAGCGTCTGGCAGCTTCAGCTGGAAAGACAGCTCCTTGTGGAAGGTACCAGTCTTCCCGAAGGTCGAGGGCGGCATGTGGTCCTGGAGCAGACCCCGAATGAAGGGTTTAGGGTTCAGGGCTTAGGGCTTAGGGTTTAGGGTTTGGGGTTTAAGAGATCCCACGAGGGTGTTGGCGAGACTGCCCTAACGCCTTTAAAGGGCTTAGAGTTTAGGGTTCGTTTGAAGTTTCTAAGCTTTGCCCCTACGCAAATAGCTCTACACACCCTAAACCCTAAACCCTAAACCCTAAACCCCAAACCCCCGAGCACGCCGTCCTGACCCGCTTCCAGGAGCTGCGCTGCCTTGGCCTCAGCGTCTAAGAGCCTCACACCTTAGGGGCCTCTGATGAATCAAAATCTGGTTTAGGGTTTAGGGTTTAGGGTTTAGGGTTTAGGGTTTAGCGTTCAGGGTTTAGGGTCTACCGTTTAGGGTTTAGAATTAGAAAAGGGTTCTGGGGAGTTCTTTACAGTATATTTATGAAGGGACTATGAAGGAATGTTAGTAGTCATTCTTCCGACCCCTCTCTTATGTACTCCCGTACGGGTTTAAGGTTTACGCCTCAGATGAACGCACGTACGTCGCCTTGTATCCAAGCCAAAAGCCACACGAAACAAAGGACGCCATGGAACGGGCTTGGGACTTCGGGTTTAGGATGGTTCAGGGGTTAGGAGAGCTTAGGGGACTGGAGTGTAGTGTTTTCGGGGCAACCTTAAATTAAACCCTAAACCCTCAACCCGAATTAAACCCTAAACCCTGGAAAATGGGGAGCTTGGGGTTGGGAATGGTGGTCTGGGGATTCAGGGAGTTGGGGACTTAAGGAGGTGTTTGGGTTGAGGACTGCGGAGTTTCTTGGCTTCGGAGTCCGTGTTTAAGGGTGGCTTCGGGGGCTGCCTATAACCTCAAACCCTCAACCCTGGCCCCAAAAGCCGGCAGCTCAATGCACCATCGCGCGAACGTTACGTGACGATACCTAAGCCGCACTACCCAAAAGATGCGAGAATGGATCCAGCCCGAAGGTGGCTTTGATACTTTACCAAGCCCTAAACCCTGAAAATATATCAATGGTTTATGATGCTTGAGGGAGTGTGTCTCAGCAGCCGCGTTACCAGGGTGCCCCCGATGTCCAGACCGAAGTGGCCTGGAGATTCGCGTAGGCTCTTCAGCACCTGATGTGGGTTTAGGGTTTCGGGCTCGTCAACCACTATTTTGGTCTGAAGCCCTATTGATAGGTCAAGTGGCCCTCTTGAACTCGTCTGAAGAAGATGCGAAGGCCTAAACGGAGTAACCCTGAACCCCTGAACCCCTAAACCCTAAAACCCTAAACCCCTTAAGCCCCTTACAGCCCCAACCGTACCTCTGGGGCATCCGAGGGCATGTAGTCCTCCACCTTGGCGTGGCGCCAGCCTTCCAGGAAGTTCCAGTGCTGGAGCACCTCCTTGGCCTGCAAAAATCTGTAGACGTGCCCAGATACACAATAATAACAATTAGTAATGAGACGGATAATAATAGTAATTTTAGGAATAACCATAATAATAAGAATAATACGAACAATATTCATCATACAAAGAATAGTCATAATGGGGCCCTGAAAAAAAAGCCGAAGGTACAGCTGCGTTGGACCGAAAGGTAAACAACAAACACATGGTTCCCGGCTCGGTGGTTCGGTGTTCTTCCACTTCGTGGGCTTTTTGAGGCTTTCCTGCAGCATTCTCTGGTGCCTGGGTTGCTGTCAGAATCCTTGTCTGGCTATATGTTGACTTGATCTTACATTGCCGAGTTCTTTTCATTGTGGAACTTGATTGAGGGTTTAGGGCGCTCGCCAGGCCACTCTCGATGCCCTCTCTTGTGAACATAGCCGCTACTGTACACCCTACGGCGATTCTTGTCGGGGAATGATTCCACTCACTAGATCTCCCTCGGATACTTGATACATCGAGGCTTGCTATATAACCCTTTCGTTCAAGCCTTTCGGGCTGGAGCGGACCTGTGTCGACCTGGAAGCCCTCGAACGGGCTCTTGGCGTGCAGGGTTTAAAGGGTTTAGGGTGTGGGATCCTTTGACCTCGAACCGCAGCAAAACCCCCGACCCTCAAACCCTAAACCCTCACCCCAAGCCCCTGATATCCCATGTTAGTCGAGCATAGCCCCAAGAAGTGCCTCTCATGTGACCTTAAACCTCAGGGTTTAGGGTTTAGGGTTTAGGGTTCAGGGTTTTGGGTTTAGGAGTTCATTTTCCAAACCCGAAGCCCTTGATTCTCGAGCCTTGTAGAAGCTGTCCACCAAGACGCTTCGCTCCCCGGTCAGTACATTCAGGGCTCTCTGCCTTGGAAGATTCCAGCGTGGGACTTCTTAGGGGGTTTTAGGTCTTTGGGGTGTTGTTTGCTTTGGCTTTTACAAGCATATAGTGCTTCCTTCATGATATGTTGAAGGGCTGTGGGGTTTACGGCTTAAAGTTGCTTCGAGCCCAGGACGAGGGTGCCGGAAGTTTTGTGGGGGGGTTGTGGGGGGACCCCTTAAACGCGAACCCCTAAACCCTACACCCTACACCCTAAACCCTAAACCCTAAACCCCGGTTCTGGGGGTTCCTGTCGCAAAGGGTTCTCCAGGAGAGGGGGCTCTTAAGGTGCACGATCTAGAGCCCACCTTATGCTCCTTCTATCCGTTTCAAAGTCTACTGAATCATGGGGCTCTAACTTAAACGAGGGTTTAGGGTTTAGGGTTTAGGGTTTAGGGTTTAGGGTTTTAAGGTTTAGGGTTTAGGGGAGCCTTACGGGGGGGGATTTCAAGTGGGGGCTCGCGTGGGGGTCTTGAGCCCGATCCAAGTCCCTCTGCCCCTCCTACACCCCTGCGAGCCTTGGAACCCCTCTGAAGCCCTGCAGAACTCTTAAACCCTATACAAACTTTCCTAAGCCGTTTTTTTCGCACTAAACCCCAAACCCTAAACCCTAAACCCCAAACCCTAAACCCTAAACCCCAAACCCTAAACCCTAGTGTTTGCGACCCTAAGCCCCAAGCCCCTTAAAAGACCCGAAACCGCCCCTAAACCGCCCAAGGTGCAGGGTGGCTTCACACTTACAGGATGCCGCAGCCTGTGCAACCTCAGGGTGTGTAGATGATAATGATGGTGCACAGAAGTCTACAACGAAAGCAATGTAGACCCGTCTCTCTGACTGCTTGTGGGGCAACCCCCACCTGCAAGCCACGCTCACGTGCCTGAAGCTGCTACACTCATGCCATGCACCCAACGACGCGCACTGATTTGATGCAGCCTTGTCAGTCAAACGCTTCATGTCATGCTCTGACAACCACAGAGGTCATCGATCTCGAGACCGTTCAATCGAAGGCACCCAATACAAGAGCCACCGCAGGTTCTGACAGCCAGGATTGCTCACTCAACCGATCTTCAAGCCCCTACCCAGTATGTACAAAGTCTCTTGCCCTACCACTAACCGATTCGGGCAATTTTAACTGGCTAACTCATGATCAGTGGTGCCTGGATGTGGGCCCCCCCACAGTGACCTGCCCCCCTACCACTAGGAACCTTCGATGAGGCCTGCATCATAGATCAAGGTCCCCCTACGCATTTAACCCGCGGGACGTTGGGATGACCGTCGTAGTTATTTGGGGGACGCCCACAGGTCAAGGGAAACCCAGCCCCTGCATGCCTTACGTCCGTTTATACTCGGATTATCCTCTCAAGACTCAACACCCTGGGATTTCACCCGCAAGGCATGCGCCCCCCCACGAAGCTCCGTCCCGCATACAGCGGTGGTGCCCTCTTCGTCGACCCAGCATGTCGAGGCGGACTCATCAGAAGCCACCCCTCTGTCCCATCCCATTGCCAGTACGGGACACTCTCCGGACGCCCTGGCTTGTCACATGCGCGAGAGGCCTGTGCTAGGGCTACTTGTAACCCAGGCACGGGGGCTGGCCAATCCGCCGGGTGCACGGGTAGCTGGGACCACCCCTGTTTCAGCGCAATCAGCAACCAACGGCGTCCAAAAAGGACGCCAGCTTGTTCCGTGCATTGTCGCCATCTCTATACCTCACCCTTGGCTCCCTGAGTCAGAGGTTCTACGCGCAGTCCAAGTCCTTGCCGAACGCCGCAGGGTCAGGCCGTCCATTGGCGCAGTAGCCCAGCATGTTGAGCAGGAGTTTGGAGAAGAACTGCTCTCCGTCATCACCTTCGGCGACGATGTCAAACAGCTCACCCTCGCCCTTGAAATAATCCTGCAACAACTTCTTGATGGTCTTCTCGGAGATGCCTTTCTCCCTGAAGAAGAGAAGGACTATGACTGCCAAGGAGCTGACCATGTTGGTCATATAGAGAATTGACGTGCCCCGGTCGCCCGACTCCCGATTCTCCTCAACGAGGAGACGGGCTTCACGCTGGACCAGGGCCGTGAAGTTCTCATTAATCACGCGCCTCCAGTGCATCGCGTGTCAACTGACACGCATGCACCAAATGGCCGACGAGACTCGCGAGGAGACTCTTCTCAAACATGAGGTACTCACCACAGCCGGCACATTGAGGGGAGCCCACTTGTAAGGCTCCCACTTCATGGCTATCGCGACGTGTGCGTGTGCAACTACGACTTTTGACTTGTGCTCAGGGAACTGCTTGGCTATGTCGCCCACCTTGTTGCAAAAGGCGTAGGCGTCTATGCCCGCAGCTCTGTCCTCCTTGTTGTCCTGTCGCAGTAACTGCACATTGGCGAGTCCTTCTTTCGGATCATGGATGTAAGTTCGCTCGAGAGTGGCGAACGAGAGCATCCACTGGCCAACACTGTGTGCAGTCGGGTGATGGTATGGGTGCTCCTTGCATGGACGGGCATACATGAGGATCGGGACTCTGCCCTCAGCCTTGTCGAAGTAGCCCATCTGCTTGAAGCAGTGGAGACACTTGCACTGCCCGCCCTCAGTCACGGCCTGAGAGGCAGATCGTGACTCCAAGACGTCGTGCATTGATACCATCGCGCCGTTCCGTGCGAAATCTCCGCCGCGTATCCCACAAGTGTGTGGGGGATGGAAGTGTAGTACCTCACAAGATCACAGCAGACCGGCTCAATGTGACGCCCTCCTGCTGAAGCAGTCGCTCGATGGTGTCGCGACTGGTAGCCATTTACGCACAGGGAGAAAATCTGGCGCTGGGAGTGTCTCAAGGTTACGTGTGCAAGCTTGAGCCAAAATGGCTACAGGGTGTGTAGGGTTTAGGGTTTTCAGTCTTAGGGTTTAGGGCTTCTCTTGGTTGATTTAGGGTTTTCAGGGTTGTGAGGGTTTGGGGTTTTTGGGGGCTTTGGGGTTAGGTGTGTTAGGGTCAGGGGTTAGGAGGGGCCTTTGGGGATTCACGTTTTCTGCTTATTTAGCTTGGACCAACAGAGGGAAGCTGTGCGCTCTGAAAGTGGGGCTTTGAAGGCAGCACAGGGAATGTGGCTGCGAAGGTATATCGGGCTACATGTAGGGTAGAGCAGGTTTCAAGGCCCTTTCCTGCAGACAGTCTACGACCCTACTGTAAACCCGACCAGGATCCCCAAAGCCGCTCCTCTCGGTGAAGCAAGGCAACAAGAAAGCATTTCGTTTTTGTGGGTGGGAGAGCGCTTCGTGAGGCACGCATCAAGAGCCCACAAGCCCTCCGAGCCACCTCTTGCTGTAGCCGCTGCATTTCGGCGGGGTACGCCATGGCCGGAGCGAGGTCGGAAAAGTGCAAGACTCCCAGCTGAGGGTTGCTCGAAGTTTCGGGCCCTTTAAACCCTAGACCCTAAACCCTTTTTGTAAGCAAGGTACCATAAGTATAAGTATTTTGATGGATTGCAGGGTATCTAAGAAGCGGCCCGGATTCAAGCAGCCTGCCACATGTTTAGGGCTCCTCTAAGCATCTGCTGATCTAACTTTCCAAGGCTTTAAGGTTTAGGGTTTGAAGTGCCCAAGAATAGACGCGCGGCAAGAGGGGTAGGTTGGACCGCAGTTGCAGCTTCAAGACTAAGCACACCCATCTCCCAGCTTCTCAAGCCGTGAAACCCGTTACCCATGGATCTAAGCCCTAGAGCCTAAGAAGCCCTAAGACCATTTCCCCATCACATGCAGGTTTTGGGCACCCTGCGGAGCAAACAAGCACCCTAATGTGCGATACGTGGGTATGTATAGGGTATGTGAGCCATACACCCTTTAGGGGTTCGTTCGGTCTCTAAGGCAGTTGTGTGGCAGCCGTGCAGTGTCATTGCAGCTCTGTTGAATAGGACTCGAGATGCTCCTCATGTCTATGCACTGCCGCCGGCGACAGCTCTCAAATGGCATCCGGGCGGCCGGAGCATTCCTACAACATCCCAGCTCTCAACCTGAACAGTCTTCTGGGGGGGGGGGGGCTAGGAGTTCAGGGTTTAGGGGGAGGAGGGGGGGGGGGGGGGGGGGGGGGTTATCTGAAACATTGGCGTTTCCGAATTTGTCCTCCTAAGCCCTAAACCCTCAACCCTCAACCCTAAACCCTAAACCGCGTAAGTCCCGCTGCGGCTTGGGAAGTCTCGCTGAGCCCCTTGCCCAGTGTAAGCTTGTCGATCCTTCCACTCGCTCCTTGGGGACCTGCCAGCTGGGGGGGGGGGGGGGGGGTTTAAGGGTTTAGGGTTTAGGGCTTAGTAGGGCTTGGTGGGGTTCAGTAGAGTTTTGTAGGGTCTAGGCACACAAAGCTTTTCTATCGCCCTAGCGTGCTTGCCCATGCAGCTTCAAGTACAAAGCTTTGGCAGCACAAACCAACAATGAGCGATAAGAACGTGCTCTGGCGCATCATTAATGTCAAGGTCCAATGTGGACTCCACCCTAAACCCTAAACCCTAAACCCTAAACCCTAAACCCTAAACCCTAAACCCTAAACCCACCAGCCTCAAGCCCTAGACCCCATTCGGGCCTTGAGCTCCACGCGCCCGCTCCAAATCAAGTACAGCCTATCACCTGGCGGAGGGTTTAGGGTTTAGGGTTTAGGGTTTAGAGTTTAGAGTTTAGGGTTTGGGGTTTAGGGTCTGGGGGCGATTGGGGGGGTTCGGGGGTTTAGGGTCTGTAGAGGGTTCATATGGGGTTTAGAGGATTGGCCATAATGTAGGGATTCTTTGGGGTTTAGAAGGTTTAGGGCTGCACAGGGCTGAACATGCTTTCTTCATAACGGGATTACAGAGGGCTTTGGCCCCTCGAAGCCCTCTACCCAAAACTGGCGTTGGGGCTGGGTGCGGGGGATGGTTGGCGCTGGTTGAAGAACGTCTGAGAAAGGCCCTTTGGAGACAGAACCCCTGCAGGATATACCCCGAAAAACATAAGAGCCCTGATCGCCAGATCCTGCCCAAACATCACCAAATCCCAAATCCCTCAGAAAGCCCACACCACACAAAAAAAGCCAGCACCCTGAAACCCTCGACCCTAAGCCCTAAGCCCTAAACCCTAAGCCCTAAACCCTAAACCCTAAACCCTAAACCCTAAACCAAATCCGATGGTAGGTCAGAGATGGACCTTCGGCCCCATAGTCGAAGATCAAGGCATCCTTCTCGAACTCCTATGGAGCAAGTGAGAAAGCTTAGAGGGTTCAGGGTTTAGGGTTTAGGGGTCACACAGGCCCCAGGGTTGGTAGGATTCCGCACCGTAGAGCTCAACTTAGGGATTAGGGTTTAGGGGGTTTGTGTTGTGTTGGGAGGTGCTTTGGCTTTAGATCGCATTATGGATTTCGGCATCGGACTCGGGAGGCGCTTTGTGTATTGTGGCTTGTTGATGTAGTAGGCGGGTTGAGAACATGGTGTCAAAGCCTGTGGGGGGGGGGGGGGGGGGGTTTGAGGTCTGGGGTTAGCCTCCGCTTGCTTGCCTACCCTAAACCCTAAACCCTAGACCCTAGACCCTAGACCCTAAACCCCAGACCCTAGACCCTAGACCCTAGACCCTAGACCCTCAACCCTGAACCCTAAACCCTAAACCCTAAACCCTGAACCCTAAACCCTATAAACCCTAAACCGCAACAGGAGAGAGAACAGCTTCCGGTCCTCCCACGTCAAGCGCTCGCCTCGGCGGCTTGCAAAGCTGAGATCTGCTGCTACTTTTTAGGGCTTAGGGTTTCGGGTTGAGGGTTTAGGACTTTGGTTTTAGGGATGTTCCCCCTTATACTAACAGTCCTTAATAGAGATTATAGTCGTAGTGTTCCCCCTTATACTAACAGTCCTTAACAGAGATTATAGTCGTAGTACCCCCTATTATAACCCCTATTAAGGACTGTTAGTATAAGTAAGGGGGAACATCCCAAGCTGAGGGTGCGGACCTTTCAAGAAGGGGATAGGGTTTAGGGTTTAGGGTTTAGGGTTTAGGGTTTAGGGCTTAGGGTTTAGGGTTGAGGGTTTAGGGCCCAAGTTCCGCACACATCGCCCGCTTGGAGTCCTTGTCCAGGTTGGCCAGGAACCTTGGGAGGGTTTGAGCTACGCCCAAAAGGCATTTTAGGGTTTAGGGTTTAGGGTTTAGGGTTGGGTTTGCCCAAAACGAGAAAGGCTTACAGCCCAAACCCGTTGAGGTTCCGAATAGAAGGGATTGGGTTGGAGCACGCGAAGGCGACAAATGTGCCATGTTGGCTCATAGAAAGATCCCCTGGTTTAAGTTTGGATCTAGACACGAACCCCCGCCCCCCCGGATTAACCCTGTGGCCCGCACGCTCAACAGGCTAAACACGAATCACAAACCCCAAAAACCCAACCACCACAAGCCCTTTACAAACAGGAAAGCAGCCGAAATCCTACAAGCCCTGAACCCCAACCCTGTAAGCTTTGTCAGCCGCCGACCCCATAAGCCGTAAACCCTAAACCCCAAGCTCCTTCAGCGAACTTGGTCAAAAGTTGGGATGCTCTCCCCATATACTAGCAGTCCTTCATAGGGGTTATCAGAGGGGGTACTAGAATCCCTATGAAGGACTCTGTTAGTACAAGGGGGGGGACATCCCAAGTCGGAAGCCTAGGACCAGCCCCTACCGAGGTCGCCGCGCATCCTGAAGCTTGTCTATGGCGTGGAAGACCTTTTTTCTAGCAGGGGGGTCGGCTTTGGAGTCTAGGCTTCAGGTTTAGGGTTATAGGTTTAGGGTTTAGGGTTTGGGTTTAGTATTTAGGGTCCTTGGTGGAGTTTCTGGTAAGGGATCCTACTGTGTGAAAAGGTATCACAACCTTTTTTTATGATCAGTGCTCTACATATGTATATACATCAGATAGGGGAACTCAGAAGGGTCCCAACTTGGCACCTAGTTGCATGGGTTCCCCTACTACTATTAGCTATCCCCAAATAATTAACCTTAATTGTGGGGGGAACTTAGGGGGGGGGGGGGGGCAGTATCCCTAAACCATAAACCCTAAACCCTACAAGTAGCATAGAGGGGGGTAATTAGTAGGGAAACCCATGACAGGTTGGTTGGGCTCTTGGTCCAGGTTCGGCCTGAATCGCTGTGGACGGAGTAGCTTTGAAAGGGCTTGAGGAGAGGACGAGTAGAAGTCCTGAGCTCATGCAACCTGCAAAACCCTGAACCCTAGTCCCCTGTGAGACCCGAAACCCTAAGCAGCCCCAAACCCTAAACCCTGAACCCAAACCCTAAACAGCCCCAAACCCTAAACCCTAAACCCCCTAAACCCTTATAGATTCACATGTCTATATGGCTCTGAAGGCACACCTCGTCTAGCTCCTCGCGGGTGCGTTCCGCCAAGGGCTTGAGGAGGATGTCGCGCAAAGCTGGCGCGCAAGGTCTATTGGAGTGTTGGGGCTTAGGGCTTAGGGTTTAGGGTTAGGGGGTTTGGGGCTATGTGGCAGTTTATGGCAATCAGCTTCTACCCCTAAATCTCCAAATTTTTCCGGGGCTTGCAAGTTCTGGGGCTCCAGGGAAAGCGGGAGATGCCTGGCAAGGGGATTCACTACTAGACGTGCTGCGGCTACGGGCTGGTGTTGTTACAGTTTACGGTTTACGGTTTAGGGTTTAATTAGGGTTTAGGGTTTAGGGTTTAGGGTTTAGGGTTTAGGGTTTAGGGTTTAGGGTTTAGGGTTTAGGGTTTAGGGCTGTAGCCGAGGAAGAAAGTGCTCCCTGTCATGCGCCTCGCACGCAAAAAGGGAGAACAAGGATACTGCTACTCGGACGGAGGGCTTGAAAAAAAAAGGGGGCCACTTGCCATCCTCCAAAAATTCAAAAACCCATGGGAAAAACACCTGTAATACCCTAAACCCCCTGCCTTTCGAGCGGATGACTGTACGCCGCCGGGCTTCCTCCTCCTCATCCTGGCAGCTCAGAGTTAATTCGGGTTTCAGTAGCCCTAAACCCTAAACCCTAAACCCTAATCCCTAAACCCTAAACCCGAAACCCTAAACCCTAAACCCGATTTCAGGTTCACTTGGGAGTCAGGGCTTGAGGGGGTTTAGGGTCTGTAAGGGTTTAGGACTTGAATGGGCTTTAACGAGGGTCAAGTAAACCTATTTGAGGTTGAGGGTTCCAATTTCTATTCTTCATTTACGGCTTTTGGGTTGAAGTAAGGGTCTATTAAGGGTTAGGGTTTGGCCAGGGCTTAGGAGCTATATACGTAAAAGGACATGCATATGCTTTTCATTTAAGCAGTTGTACGGATTTGTTGGTTACAGATGTACGTATTCTGCGCTATTTAATGTGTGGAAGCATAAACATCGATACGTGTCCACATA